TGGTTGTCGACCAACAGCTTGAGCCTCGAAGGAAGGCCATGGGAAGCAGCCGGAAAAAAGCTGAGAATGGCTCGCTCCACCGCCTGCATCTCACGCACATTGATGTGCGTTAAGGAACGGTCCCAAAACCCCCTCGCGAGGAGGGGGCGAGACCTCGTCGGGGAAGCAAAGGTGGCCCCCCAACCGGTCAGGCTGGCGTCCGTTGCCAGAGTACCGGCGAAGGGGATGGCGTCGGGGTTGAGTGGACGGCCTTCGCAGCGGCGGATGTTGACCCACGCCTCCAAGTCCAGCCGGGCTTGGGGGGAGAGGATCAGGCGATCCCGCCAACTGCGCTTGGAACGAAGAACCGCGTAGAGGCTTTGCAAGAAAAACCGTGCCAAAGGAAAGGCCAAATAAAGGGAAATGGCGAGGCCGCAAAAACGTGCCAAATCCCTTGCCACAACCCAGCGGCTGGATCGCAAAATGCGGGCCTGATTGGCGATCAACGCGGCCTTGTCCGGAGGAACCTCAAAACGGCCATGGGCCGTGTCCACAATCACCCCCAAATGCTTCTTGCGCATGGTGGGGGTCCATTGACACTTCCGCTCCTTGAATTGGAGGCCCAGCGAGGCAAACACACCCCGAACCAATTTCGACCATCGAGTCAAACGTGCGGCATCATGCATGGCCGCCAAAAAATCATCGAGATAAGCCAACAAAATGGCTGGCGGTTCACTAGTATACACGTGAAAGTATGTAGCTATTGAGTCATCCCCTGCTAGGCACCCAAAACGGAAATGGCGAGCAGCCTTGGGGCAACTGCCCGGGGACCTCAAGAAACGACCCACAACAAGCATCAAATGGGTGAAAAAGAAAGGAGCCAACGAAAGGCCAAAAGGGAGAGCTTGACAGGCGAAAACTTCATCTCCCATCCGAAATTGGAGGAAACATTCCTCCGATCGACACACGCGAAGATGATGATAAGCATCTTTGATGTCGAATCCCACCAATGAGTCATTTCGGCGAAGTAAGTGACCGAAGTCACGTAATTTCTCATAACGAAGGCCCACCTTGCGAAGGTGACGGTTGACCCGTCGCAGATCGATGCAAAGGCGGTACTTCATGACCCCATCTTCCCGCCCCTTCTCCACCAGGAAGGCCCGAGATATGCGCGAGTTGGGGCCCGGCTCCACTTTGGTGATCGCGCCCGAAGAGAGGTAGTCCGCTCGAAGGGATTGCCAGGCCGCCCGTTCCTCCGAGGAGCGGAGCGGGTAGGAGCCCTCGTCGAAGGGAGCCGGCGGTCCACGCGGTCCCCACAGAAGCGGAGTCCCGGAATGGATCCATTGGAGGATGCGGGAGGGGGCGCCGATGCGACGCCACGCCGAAAGGCGTCCGCGGACCCGGTTGTATGGGAAATGCTTCACGGAGCCGGCTTGGGAGAGGGGCCCGGAGGGCGAGATCCCTTGTGGGCCTTGGGGCCGGTCGAGGGGGCCGAGGTCGACGGGGGGGAGGTAGACTTCTTGGCGGCCGCGGTCTTGGTGGCGTGCTTCAACTCTTGCGTCAGAAGCTCCTTGCGCATGCGCTCGATGGTCCCGTCTACGCGAGCGGTGCCGAAGCGCAGACCGCGGTCGGCAAGGCGGATCTCCGCCTGAATGGCCCGCCACGATCCCTCCAGGCCCGAGCCCTTGTGCTTGGCGTGGATGCACTGCAAGGAGAGCTGGTCGTGGAGAGCTTCGGTGACCTCCACGTACGAGTAAAGGTAGGGGAGGAGGAAGTCCCGTACGGACGCCGGGAGATCGGGATGGGCGGCCACCTCCACAAAGGCCGCGGTCGTGTCGAACAGCCAGGAGACCGGAGGAGCCCAGCCTGCGTACTCCTGGAAGTACCCGGAGTTGGCGCCCAAAGAGGCGGCGACCGCACTCCCCTCGGCGGTGTCGCGGACGTCGAACCAGTACGGCGAACGGGCGCCCACCGGTCGGGCGACCGGGTTGTTGACGGACTGGGGGAGTAGCGCCGGGTCGGGCAACCAGCAGGCTTCGATAGCGGAGCTCGGAATACGGTTGTTGAACCGGCGAGCTTGTTCCCGGCACCACTGCTCCGCAGGGGACGGGTTCATAGGCAAGAACTCGGCAAAGAGCCGGAGGTCGAGACCCACTCAGTGGGTCCGGGTTGTGCCAAAGAGTTGGCGCGAAGCGAAACAAGATAAGGTGGGGACCGAGGGGTGAGCCTAAGTCGCCTCCCCGCTCGCGCCCGCCAAAGCCCGCCGCTCCCAAGGGCGCCAAAAACCACTGGCCCTCCTTGAACGCGACGGACCAGCCACTGACCCAAGGTACAGGGGGACAGAAACCCCAAGGGGCCGCCAAAACCATTGTACTTTAAGCAGCGCTGACCCAAGTGGGCCAGCGCGCCCGCCCCTCGTCGCCCTGGGCGGAAACCACTTAACAAGATAGTTAATCCCATGGCTATCAGCCATTCGGCCGAACTGAAAATATTGCACCTGATTTGGCCTGTCCAATTAGAGATGGCACCACACCAACCTCTCTTTTGTCACTTTGAACACGACAACAATGCTCGGAAACAGTGTTTGATGGCATTTTGAACAGTTTTCTATATCTATCAATAGCTTCAAACGGGTTCGCCCTTTCACAAGATTTCCAAAGAGCGGTTGCAATCCAGATTGCAACCGCCACTAGAGCTGGTGCAGCACTGCCAGGGCTGCAAAGTGCAAATTCATTCATGGAAATGCTTCGGCAGCGCTTGTACATTGTCAGTCACGGAGCGTCGAGCAAATTATATATAATGCATTATCATATAAATACATTATCATCCAGTAGATATGTCTCTTGACGATGGGCCTTGTGGCATGGGAGAACGGGGAAGGCGCTGAAGCAATGTGCCACAGCTCATCTGAAGGGAAAGGCTTTGTGCTGTGGAGCACGCTCGGTGCGTGCCGAGAGCGGCATTTCCAGCAGCGTGGTTGAGACGGCATGGCTATGGCAACCAACAACTGAAAGAGTAGATGGCGAAGATGCACGGCGAAGCCCTGTCTGGAAAGCAATTGCAGCATTGATGGCTGTGTCCACGCATATGCAACCGATCGGAAGCCAGTCAAGCCTAAAGTATGTGTGCGCGCCATGGTATGCTTTCACTTGCTAGCTGCGCTGGCGTAGCTCGGCGCCAGAGGTAGAAGGCGGAGGACTCTATGTGCAATGGTCGACGACTGTCAGTGATATCGGCGACGATCTCAGTCGTCACCATCACTCGCCGCCGACGAGAGTCTGGGTGGGACTAAGTCTCCCACGTCTTCTCAAGGTGTTTGCGCACATTCTCTTTGGAGCACTGGAACATGCAGATTCAAATGCCTCGTTGTTATTGGAGTTCCATGCTGGGATTCGGTGTGATTTGGTTCATGCCGCATGAGCCTGTGTAATTATTTGAGTGAATGAATCATGCGTTGAGCGTGTAGTTGACTTGCACGTGCTGCGTTGCACAAACAGCGCTTTGTCTGGACACCAATACAAAGGGCATACAGGACTTTTCTAGAGGATATCACAAGTACAGTTTCGCACATGCTGCGTGGCCCACGACTGACTTGAATTGTTGAGTTCCTCAATGAACTGTAAAGGCGGACACGCCAATATCTCTTGAAGTTACTGACTACTCTAATGCCAGGGCAATAATGTTCTCAATGCCAGTGTGTTCCTCTGCCTCCGCAGATCGCCGCCCCTTCGATTGCATATTCGAGTGTACCTCATGCTGGACGATCGTCGATCTCGGTTATCAGCACACATGCCACTGGCGTGGATTTTGTCGGCCGTCAGTCGGCACGGGCCATTTGGTGGCCTGGCGAAAGCAATGGCAGAATCTGTTGGGGAGCCGGCCACTTTATTTGGGCGCATCCTATTGCTTCTATGCACCCAGGGATTGAATATTAAGCATAAGGCTAGTAGTCAGCGCTGGAAGCTGAGGGAGGAAACAGATATTCGGCTGTCAGTGATATCGCTAACTTGCGCCGAGGGTCTGTGGCTGTGGATATGTCGGAAGGTTGATGTGTTAGACGCACATAAACGCTTAAACTTTAGGCAAGGAAACTTGGAATCCCGTCATCTTGCCTTCCGAACTTGTGCGTTCAAATTCTGAATTGAATGGAGAGGCCGACACAATGGTCGATGACATTGACGTCATGGCTCAACGCGGGGCTGTGCTGTTTGCAGTGGCCCCTCTTAACTCGCCCACACAGCTGAGCATTCAGAGCTCTGCGTATCTAGCAAGAAAGTGCGGAAAGGGTCACTATCAACGTGTCAACGTGTTCTTACAGTACATTCTGTTTCCAGCATTTTCACATCTCTCCGTATGCAGGCTCCCTGAATACAGGCTTTTCTGCCATCAGCTGATTTCTTGCTATTTGTTGTTCCAATTCTGCTGTTCGCTATATTAATTACGTTTTTGAAAGACTCACAGATATTTTCCTTGGGGCGTGGGGGTGGTGCTGCACAACGTGTTTCCATTTACGTCAGGGAAAATCAGCGGCAGGGCTCATAATGAGCGAAGCGCACCGGGATTGCTTCCATGTCCCAGCAACAGTTTCCTATCTTCGAGTTGAGTTTAGGGCCGTGTGGTTCCACAGAAACCCATCCCCAGCAATTCACCAAACCCCCCATTCATTGCCCAGGCCAGCCCTACCCCCATCCCCCGCAGGGATGCTCCCTGCGATCGGGTCGGGGTTCCGGACACCATCCCCGACGCCCTCAAACGTGGCCTCTAGGCGCTGTGCCCAAACGCCGGCATCCCCACTCCCCGTGGGCTCCTGCTCCCACTCGTCTACAGTTCTGGTGCCCAGCTTGAGCCCAGGGGCACTGGCCGGCGCGAGGAGAATTGGGTCTCCATCGGCACCATCACGTTCCTCGCGATGCTCGGCCATCACCTGCTTGGAGGGTGTGGAACCTCTGGAGGTGGCAATCAGGTGTTTGAAGGTTGGCCACCGGGGCCTATGGGCTGAACGATCATGACCCAGTGTGCTCATGGGGTTGGCAGATTCAAGCTGTGAATCCATATGCGTCTGGGAGTTACTGGGAAAGTCAATCACCCAGCACGGTTCTGGACAGCTTCACACAAGCCGAGTCTCTTTGTCTCCCTTACCAAAACTACCAAAAACTCAGGACAACACTCAAAACAGGTAGGGCATTGGTGAGTTGTGCCTTTCAGACTTGGCGGGAACTGCTGACGAAATCGGACCAATCCAGCAGGTCATTGTTGGTACATCTAGACGGAAATGAGCACAGTTGTCTTCTCAAGCTCGCATGGAAAAGAATGCGGAAAAAACAGTCATGAGAGGGAGAAGGTCGTTTGTATGTGAATGACACACAAAGGTTTATCCGAAATGCTCAGTGTTGTCAGCACCTAGCTCCCACATTCCACTTGCAATATCCACAAATTTCATTGATGCCGTCGTTTTCACACTGGGAGCGGTTTTCTGGTTGGTATATGTACATCAACTAGACTCTGAGGAAGGCATGGTCAACCTCATGCCTGCCAAGGTGTAGGACGCCCACCATGCGCCACGTTTCCTTTCTGCTGAAAAACCAATCTTTGTTGAATCTCATGCTGTGATGGCCTGCTAGATGCAAGTCCATGTCTTTTTCGTTTTGGATTGAAAGCACTCAATTGGTTTTGAGGACTGTGATGTGGGGGATGTGACACAGGGTGGCAAACCATGACACGGAGCTTGAGGCCTCTGCTTGGCTGCGAGCAGTTTCGTTTTATGTGCATCCAGAGGAGAGAAAGTTTTCAGGGCAGGTGGATGACAAAGGCCTGTGGGTTCCATCACAAGGATTGGCACGGACACAGCACAGGCTTTTCACTGGACACCCTTTGCACGGATCCTGTGCTTTGAGAAGTTGAAAAGGCAGGCCCAGAAAGTTTACAGCAGCTATGGTAACCCTGGCAACCTCAACATTTGGTCTTAAAGACCCCAATGGCAACCCTGTTGAAGTCAAAGCATATGGTACTCCATTGAGTAGATTTGCAGGACGCCATCTCCAGGCACCATGGGAGAAGCGTGCAACATTGATTTCAGCACTGGGAAAGGCCACATGTGTTCATGATTCTGGAGTAGTGTATTGGGAATGTATTTGCTGAATCGTCACCGTTGGTGAGTCTCCTGCTGGTGCATGTGAGGAATGATACCATATACTGTTTCAACCCATGAGGGGGAGCGTTGCTGTTGCTCTTTGTGTGTGTCCCAAAGCGATTGTTTAGTCAGCAGCATTTTCGTAGTTGCCCTTGCTGCAATGCCACATCTGTCGAGATCAAAGCCAGCTTGTCACGTGTCCTGTGCCTTTGACAGTTGGCACAAGTGAAGACAATCCTTGCACTGAATGAAGTTTAAAATCTCGTCATTATGCGTGGAGGCCCACAACTTTGGGTAACACATCACAATATTTGGCTCATCAATACATCAAACAGTGCTGTTGACAGCGGCGGCAACGCCTATTGATGTGCCCGTTCCATGAACTTGTACCAACCTCAAGAGAGCAATGCGGGACGCCATGCGCTGGGTATCATGTTCATGTTCTTCCACGATTCTTCAGCAAGTCGTTTTAAAGCTTCTTCTGGCTGTTGCACAGTTACAAAGGCTTGTGAAAGCCCAGGAAGAGTTTCAGCTCCTCAAAGAACGCAATGTGCAGAGGGAGTTTGGTGTGGGCCAGGTGTGTCGTTGTGGGTGTAAGCGAATGGGTACTTGTGCTGAGGATGATGCAGGATGTGTTGCCTCACAGAAAAGTAGTCTGTGTGGACTGTGCTGGTTTCTTCTGTATCTTTCTCCTTTTTTCCAGCATCTATTGCAATGCCTGTCGATTTTCTGTGAGTGCCTATGTATGCTTATGAATCTGAGAACGGCACTCAGGACCTTTGTATAATAAACCTGAATTTGCAAGTGTATGCACAAACGACTGCTCGAACATAACACAGACATCTGAGAAAAGATCCTGGGCCACGTTTGGGAAGCTGCGTCATTTTTAAGAATGATTGTGCACAAGATCATACTTTGCATCTTAATGTGTGATTTCTGGTGCTGTTCATCAGGACATTGGCATCTGCCTGGTGGCAGTCTTGGCAGAGGATGGGGCACATGGTGAAGACACCAAGCTACTCATCGATGATGGTCGTATGGTGGTGCTGGGGACGTTGGATGTTGTTGTGGCCAGAGCATTGCAAGGGCAAGCTTTGATTGGTGGGCTGAGCACTTGCAAATGGATAACAATCGCCCACGTTGTCTGCAGCTCATGGCCTGACCCCACCCACTGATCACGGGACTACATGCTCTTTTGCTGTCACTGACACCCAGATGTACAGGCAGTAGTTTTTGCCCGGACAATTTAGTCCAATGTGATTCTCGCCATGGCCATAACCATTGCGTGCCTCACATTTCGGGAATGTCATGAATCCACACCTTGCAATTGCATAAGTGCGGCGAGGCATAGAACAGATGTACTCAGCATGTGCAACATGGCAAGGAGCACATATGGATCATGCATTCGATAATTGCCTTCCAGCACGGTCATGCTGCAAGTGCGAGATGCTACATTGCCTACCACCACAAGAACATCCCTTTTCTTGAAATGCATGTGTGCGTGCCTTGTTGTGCTGACTGGCTGTCTTGCTCTTCTCATGTCGCAATCCACATCCGCTGCATTTGTCGAATTGTGGCAAATGTCTGGCTCAATTGCAGGTTGTAAAGGACAGACGTAGATATTGACATGGATGGACTGTCCACATCGACAGATGTATAAAACCCTTTGGGCCAAGGGTGGGCGCAAACCTCAATACTTGTAAGTGTCAAATAAGTACTGAAGTGAGCTAAGCACTAAAGCACTGCTGCCTTGTACCCACACTGCCCGAATAAGTGTTTTGCACTTGCACTTGTTGTACCCGTTGGCTTCCTTGTGCTGGCACTGGACACCGCCGGCAGAGCACTTTGGGACACGTTGGTCATATCCGTCGATTTTTGGTCCAGGCAATGCTCACTCCGCGGCGTACCTTGCCAACGTCTGCGTCAGCAGCAGTGCAAGGAGGAGAGGGGTTGGACAGAAGCTGGTCGACGAAGCGGTGCAAATTGCGCAAAAGGAAGGTACGCGTCGGGTGGGCATTGTGTCCACCCGCGTTGTTTCGACATTGCACCTCTGGTCGAAATTTTGATCCCATGTGTCATGATGTGCAAGCAGCAGGATTCCATTCAGATGTGGTTTGCCAGAAATGATTTGCCGCTTGTTGCTCTCCATCATCCAGGGTGCTCTCCTAACGAGAGTCTCCTTGCTCCGTTGTTGGCAGTGGCAGGGTTTTGGAAAGGGCATGAGTCAGTCAGCCCGTTGGTGGCCCATGGGTGTCCTACCTGTTGACGGGATGTCAGCCACACTTTGCTCATGGCTGTTCCGTAGACCCCGAACATGCCGATGTTTGCACGGTCAGAATTGTGCTGTTATTGTCGCTCGTGGCCACATAACTTACATGTGACATGCACATGCTGACGTTTTAACCGGAGTTGCAAACGCAGAACTGGGAAATGTTTCGTTTTGCGTTGCCAGAGAATGGCGTGTTTGATTCATATTGTCACACCTCGCCTCATGGTGGCATGGTTTGTTTGTGCAGATGTGCGCTGCGTTGGTCTTCAAGCTGCTAACAAGTTTAGAGCAGTGGCAGGTGAACACCATTGACAAGCTGCTGCTGCGCCAGGTGTTGACTGCGTTTATGTGCACATTTACGCCTCGAACACTATTGGGAGACGCTTCTACGAGAGTTGCGGATTTGTTGTCGAGCAGGAGGAAGACTTGAATATGGCGCGCCGCAGGTGAATGCCACACTCTCATGTGTCTTCCGTTGTGCACATGGCGAATCCGCGCAGCTCGCTTGCAAGAAAACTCACAGAGCAGCAGCTCTGCTTGAACTCCATAGTGTATAACAGCACGATGCGTCCGATGGTGGAATGTCTTTCCGTGGTCACAGTCGAGCAGGGGTCGAGGAAAAACTCGAGCTGACAACGGTGTGTCGCGCTGACGATACCGATGTTTTTGTGCAGAGGCACTGACCATTCTGTTGTCTTGTAAAGGGGCCAAAATATGGACGGGCAACCAGGCTCTGGGAGGACTGTTTTGATGAAGTTTGTCCTCTGACTGTGGCGCTCCCTGCCACCGTATTGGGAGCTACGAATTAGTCAACCTGCCATGCTTATGTCGATCAATACTGTGCCACCGTGGTGCAGCACGGCGACTTGCCCACTGCAGCATGAACAGCTTGAGAGATGGAGAAAGGGACTCGTGGTGGAAGGCCCTCCTGCTGTGAAATCACTGTGTTTTGCTCTGCCTGTGCCCCGCAGTGTCCTCCCTAAGACCAATGTCCTTTTCACCTGGCGGTAGGCCTGGTGTGTCGGATGTACTCCAGGGGTTGTTTCTGGACGGGCTGGAGAGTTTTTGGCTGGTTGCCTTGCGGAGGACGCGCACCACTTCGTCTTGGCTTGTCGGCTTGGTGGAAGGTTTTGGCAAAGACGAGGCAATTGTATAATCGATGTTGGGTGTCTGGTTGCAGCGTGGACAGTGTGCGTTCAACACATACTGATGGTCGTTTCGTAAGTTGTCTGGAAGTCCACCGATTCCACTGTGCTATGCCGTAGCAGCTGGAGAGCGCCGTTTTGCCGTCGTCTTTAAAGTGACATCGTTACGTCATTCGCAATTCTCCGAGGCTCACGTGCTTTACCTTGATGGATTTTGCCTTTTTTGTTGGTTTTGCGAGGGATGCTGGCGAGATATCTAACGCATGCTTGCCGGCTGAGAACGAATCATCTGGGCTGTTGGAACTTCTGGTGATTCGAAAACAGCGTTACTGTTTGCTTGTGTTTATTGCACAATTCTAAATTGTCCAATACAGCACTGGTCGCTTCCATGGATTCAATAAATGTGACGCCCCTGCGCCGCACTCCCCTGCTGATTTAACCGCACGAGGCAGACCTATTGTCCTCGCCAGTCTCTGCCTGCTGAAGGAGCAATCGAGTTGCGCACTCTGTCACCGACTGCCTGGGCGAAATGGCTGCCGAGGGTCAACAACCCCCTGCATTGCCTGCATGGAGACCAGCCGCTAAAGTGGGCAAATGCGGTTGTGCGACGGCTTGCCGCAATCGTGGTGACGACCAGTGGCGGCCAGTAGGGGTGTGTACCAACCGAAACATGAGTTACAATTGCAGCGCCAAGGTGAATGTTTTCGCAAGCGATGTTCTTCTCAAAGTCAGGCACCCGCACGTTGCCCCATTGCAACGGGCCCGCAGCTAATGGTGATGAAGCGATTCATATCTCGCCCTCTTCCTTCTCCTCCTCCTCGTCTTCTACCCAACCTGTCTCCCTATGCTTAAGCTTGAACCCGAATTTCTGCAGCGAAACCCCAGGCTTGCAGCCCCACTCCTCGAATTTCCGCCAAGTCTTTTCGTTCAGGCAGAAGTCGACTGTTCGCGGGTAATTCTGCAGGAACACAGACGCGTCAGACGCACACGACGACCAAAACACAAACAGCACAGCAGCGGCGACAGCTCGCCAGCCTGACAGCCATGTGCAACAACAGATTGCAAGCAGTCAACCATGGCGTGCTGCGCTGGTCAATCGCCAAACTACACACCTTGATCTCTTCGATCTCCTTCCTCTTTCGCTCTTCTGCCCTCAGCCTCTCCTCTTCCCTCAGCTTCTCCTCCGCTTTGCGCCTTTCCTCATTGGCAATACGCGCCTGCTTCTCGCGCTCGTTGTACGCCTGCAATCGGCGGGCGGCGTCCTGTTTCTTCTGTTCCTCGACCTGGAGCCCACAAAACGCGGGGCGAAGTCAGCAAACGACACGAGGCGCTGCGCCGCACTGCTGCTGCCTGTGGTTGCACTCTGCTTCGCCAGCCACCAATTTGCTGAACGGGAGCAGGGTGCGACGGGCGTGTCACCCCAGATAGTAGCCGCCCTGAGTTTGAATCCAAGTAGGCATACACAGCAGGCACAGCAGCGATTAGCTGTCTGCAATGGTAGTAGATGCCACATGTACCTGCACACCCTGTTAAAGTGAATGCAACCGAAGGAATTCACCATGAGGGGGGGGGGGGGGTCAATTAGAGACCCCATTCCAAGCAATGGGCATTCTTCTTGCGCAGTGGAGGGTACTGCTGTGCACACCTTTTCCCTCTCCTCCCTCTCCTTCTCCCTGATTTCCTGAATACGCTGGGCCTGCTGCCGCTGCGCCTGAACCAAAAGTCGCACAATATCTTGGGCAGTGCAAAGAGACTGGCACATCAACGCTTGCTACAATCAGACCCAAGCTCGGCTGGCAGCCAGCATTGGTGCACAGCATTTTTACACACTGTGGTGCAAGTGACGAGTCTTCTTCACCCGATTTTCTCACAGTATTGTGGACTAAAACAGGGTAACGCCACCTACACAGGGGCCAAAAGAAACTCACTAACTGGAGCTATTTTGCTGCCATTCCACACTGGTCACTCCTGCAGTGGGATCTGCTCTGTTCACCCCTGCAGTGATTCTGTTGGGGCAATGGAATACAACTGGAACACTCAATGGGAAGGTCATTGTGCCTGTCATTGCCTCAAAAATGCAAGGCTAGTGTCGTGCTGCTGCTTGGCGCAAGCAACAAAAGGATCGACTACAGGAAGGTATTTACTCCACAGAGCTCAAGGAGCAGACAAACAATACCGCATTCACCTGGTATTAGTAGGTGCGTATTGGACCCCCAAAATGAGCAGTGGATACTAATAGTGGGTCATGGATACAAAAGCAGTTTAGACCCCTGATCCAAGGAGTAGACATAGAAACTTTTGGAAAAATAGGCCACGAAACGCCCCAAAATGGACTTGAAACAATGGAAGATGCAGTGCATGGGTAGCAACATCACCAAATTAAAGTTACAAAATCACAAATACACTTCTGTCAGCGACAATGACAAAGTTATTACTGAAAGTTGTTAGCCTCTTCATGATAGCCAGCGGCTTGGACTTCGGGCTTGGGGCTGCACTAGGTGGGGACGGCTGGCGATTTGGTCCAACAGAAGTTTGCTGGAATGCTTGAGGCGCGTTTTCCTCTGCGATGCGAAGAACGAGGACTAACATGGGCCTCAACACACTAGGGCGCCTCGCCGTGACGACGGGCTCGGCCCCTGGCGATTTTCCGGGCTGATGCCCGCTGGGATGGCTGATGTGATATGTGATTGGGTTGGTGGCCTGGTAACCAATGTGGTGTGCGAACTGGAAACGGGTGCTGCCTTTGTGGCGTTTTGCAGGCAGTTCTGCGAGGTGGGGCCTCACAACGACGGTCGCCCCAACCAGCGCGGTCGCCTGGACATTCCTGGTGCTGGGCCTTGAGGCGCCCTTGGCGGGCACCACTCTAGTACCCGCTCCGGCCAGCTTGGGGGGCCAGCAGGTTGGCTCAATCCAGAAACCAAGTTGCCTTGATTGTCGTCTGCTTCTTGGATCGTGCCTCGCAGCGTCGGTCGCTGCCCAACGATCTTGCGCAAAAAGCCCAAACGGCAGCCAGCCGACCCCGCAACCTTTCGCGGACCTCCTTCCAAATTCTCCCTTAACGGAATCCACCCCGACCCGACCGTTCCCGTCGATGCGCGAACCGCAGGGAATGCAGTTTGGTCCAGCCTGGGAAACGCGGCCCAGCAGCAGCAGCCAGCAACCATTCGTGCCTTCACTCGTTTCTGTTGAGGTTGGGGGGTGGATACTAATACCGGTTCATGAATACTAACGTGGTTTCAACCCCAAGAGGGGGGTGGATACTAATGAGGGTGGATACTGATACCGGGTAAATACGGTAATACACCGACAGTGAGATTTCATGCCAGTGAGCCCTTGGACAGGCCACCAACCTCTGCAGCCCTGTTGCCACCGATAGGCATCTTCCTGGATCCTGGGGTGCTGTCAATGGCCCTCGTTGTGCCACCCTGCCACCATATAGAACATACCATGAGTTGCGCCGCAAGTATGCACAGTCATTAGGATAGAAGCAACAATACAGGCTAGACGCTTGCAGTGATTTTCCTCTTATCAATCGTCTCAGAGTGGCCTACAACAGCCCCTGCACCCTCTATGGCGACGTTGGGCACATGTCTACACGTAGGTTGTCCAAAAGCGACACCAGAAACGCCAAATAGAATCCAATGCATGCTGTCCATTGTCATGGTGTGACATCGGTTGTGGCTGTTGTGCCGTGCACAAAGCTTGCTGAAAGTGACTCTTGCTGCAGTGCATCTACCCAATTTATCAAAGCATAGTTCCACCCAAAGCATGTCGAATTGGTGCAAGTTGTCTGCATCGGATGATCTTAGGCCCGTGGTACTGTGAGGGCTGTCTTATAATGGAATGCTAATCACAACAGTAACGGAACTAACATGCGCTTGTTCTTGTGCGACGTTGTTGGCGAATGTGTATAACCAATTCTGAGTGGAGCGTGGCCTGCTGTGATAGTTCCCATATTCAGCTGAGGTGTTGTCTAACATCTGCCAGCTTGGGTATCAGCTCTGAAAGCTTACACCAAACTGGTGTACATGTGAATGTCTTGGACAAGCTCCGCCCCATCCTCTAATATTGGCTGACAGAGGCTGGTATACATTAGGAATGCACAGCTATAGCTACGAACCCTATGACAACCCACGTCCAAAGTCGTGTGCATCGAAAGACTGAGCGCAGTGAGCAGCACTAAAACACTCGCCCATTAGTTTGTATCTGGTGCCAACACTGTACCAAGGTCCCTGGCTCGAGAACAAGGCTACCAAAGGCCATCAGCCTGGCCAATGCCAGCGACTATTTCGTCAACTGAGGCGTGTATGAACTTGGGAGGCAGAATGGCATAATGGCCATCGATATTTTCCGACCGGTACTGAGACAGCCACTTAAGGACAGCAGACTGTTGGGCAGCCACTACAGCAGACTCCGCAATTCTGATGTTCGATCTTTGGATATCAAACCGGTGCACCTCCAGCGATGACAAGAGCAACAGATATGTTATCCTACTCAATATTCTTAAGTACAGTCGCGCTGGACGTGTTGAACGGGTTGCACAACAGCAACAGCAAGGAGCATGCCGCCCTTCCCCTGTTCGCATCCCAACAAACCTTGCAGGGTGCACGCTGCTTGGTGTCAGTACCGACAGCTGCAGTTTTGGCAGAAGGCCCAGATCCAGAAGCAGTGGCAGCACAGTGGGCTCCAGCTGCCATGATCGTTTCTGAAAACAGGAAAATGTGCATCAGGCCTTGCAGCATAGCATACACAAGGAGGCAAGGCAGGTTTCCTCACATATGTTGCAGATGCTTGCAAGGTGTGCTGTTCTTGTTTCCTCTGCATGTGCACCATTTTCTTTCAAGCATTGTGTTGCTGCGGCCCGGCCTTACTCTGCAGTCTTGATGTGGTGTTTGTGCCCGGAGCCGTTGCAGTTCTTGGTCGCCCACCTTGACCTGCCCGACCATGAGAGATTTCAGTTCCTGCAGTCACACAGTACTTCCACACCCAGCTGTCCAGAAAATGCAATGTCTGTCCATTTCAGGCCCTGTTTTTTGCACTGTCGTGTTTGCTGGGTACCTGAATTGCGCAGGACGCTGGCCAGTTTCTCCACAGTCTTGGGCGACAGCATATCAAGGGTGACGTCCTTGTCCGGGCTTGCAGCACCAGCAGCAGCGTCCTTGGCGATGGTGTCCCAGATTTGTGTCAGGGCCGACTCTCCAAAGCAGCCAATATCAGCAGACAGCTTCCTGAGCTGTCCGAAACCCCCTTTGTCCTCAATGCGGCCCTTTGCCAGCTCAGCCCTTATCTTTTGGAGCTCCTTGTCCAGCGACACAAACTCTTGCAGGGTGGCAGTCCGGCCTGCACCTGAGGCAGCCTGCGGGACAGGAGTATCCGCTCCCTTGCGCTGTGCCACAGCAGCAGCAGGATGCTGCATGGCCTTCATGGCCGGTCGCTGGGTTTCCTGGAGTTTCCCTCCCCCAGCAGCAGCTTTGGACGCATTCTGCAAGCCATTCTGCAGGCCATTCTGCAGGCTGTATTTCTTGGCACCGGTGGCCGATTTCGGCCTTGGCTTTGTGGGGTTGGTGGATTTTTCTCCTGTACACTGGTCACCCGCCTTTTCCAGGACCTTCTGCTGCGAACCAGGGGCAGGCACCGCCTTCGCCCTCTTCTTGCCGGGAGCCTGGTTCTCGGTGGACGAGTCTGGGCCTGAGGGCGGCCCAAGAGCGCCCTGGCGCGGCTCGCTAGGCTGCTGGCCCTGCAGCTGGCACAAAGCACCAGCACCTTATGGCCATGCACCGCAATCGAAGCTACCTGTGCGATGCTCCGGAAATGCACACAAAACGTTGTCTCTGGATACGCAAACGCGTTTGCGAACGGCTTGAATGGGCCGAGGCGGGACGGCACGCGCCCAAGCCCGTCTCCGTGCCCATTCACCGAGAATTCTCGCCGAGCAGGAACGGCGCGTGGTGACTGGGTCCAGTGCCTGCCTTTGTCAACCCGCCGTCCGCCCTTCCAGCCCCGCAAGGCGGACTTTCCCGACGGAGGGAGCGCCGCGCACGGCGCCCGGGGCCCTGGCGCAGGGCCGGGGCTCGAGCCCAATCGACAGGCCAGGCACCTAAGCGCAATAAACCACCAACGGGCAGGCGGGGCTGCGGCAAGGGGCCACAGCCCGCGAGACCAAGGGGCTGCAACGGCCGGGGGATCTGCGGCACGGGGGCGCGCCCTCGAGAGGCAAACCGGCATTCCTCGCCCAAGCCGGGTGGGCGGTAACCGGTGCCACCATCGTCCAGCACGGGCCGCAAACGACGGGACCGACACGTCGAGCTGCTCGCGGCCGTCTGCAGCCGCACGCCCACAGCCACCGCTGCGCGTGCCGTATTCGCGGCGGTGCACATGCCAAGCGGCGCCCGCTCAGATGCGCGGCAGCGCCCCAAAGTTGAAGCCCACCGGATGGGGATAGGGGCGCTGCAAGGTGCTGGACAAAACAACAGCCGGGCGCCCCCCGCCCCGATGCCGGCCACCGACCGGCCCGCTAACGCCCCTGCGGCCTCGCAATTTCGAATCCGGCCGGATCTCGCCGCAGCCCACTGCGAGGCGCCGCGGCGGATGTCGAGACGGGCGCCCACCTTGCCCGCGGCGTCCTTTAGGCGGCCCTCGATCCCGGAGGCGGCCCAGCGCGCCTCCCACAGCTGCGACAGCTGGTCGCCTAGTTTGCGGCAGTCGTCCCCGGGTGGGTTGTACTCGCGGCAGTTGGCCCACACGAGGCGCATGTCGTCCCTGAACTCCAGCGGCGAGGCGTAGCCGCGCTCGGCCCCTCGCCGCCCGCCGCCCCGCATCTCCAGGCGCTTGCCCACCGTCCCCAAGTCCATCGGGTTCTTGATGACTTCGTAGTAGTCGGGCACACCCGACCTAATCGGGTCCACGGGGCGCAGGAAGGGCCCGGCCAGCCTGTGGCGCTTGATGTTGTTCAGGATCGTCTCGCACTTCTTCCACAGGATGCGCAGCTCCTGCTCGTCCGAGCGCCGCTGCGGCTGCGACGGCGGGGAACCAGCAGGGGCGTCCTTGGGGCATCCCGCTGTCAGCTGGGCGTGGATCCGCTGCCAGGTCCGGACCACGCTCTCGGGCGTGGCTTCGCCCTCGGTCAGCCAGCCGCGGTCACGCTTCAGCCGCGCGATGGCGGACTCCTGCTCCCGGATTTGGGCCAGCAGCCCCTCCAGCTGCCGCCGCTTCTCGGCGCGCTCGCCGCCGCCGTCGTCCCGCGAGCGCTTCATGGCGGCGCAGCGAGGGGCACGGGGGCGGTGCTGCGCTGCCGGGGGGGCAGCCAGTGGGAGGGTGGACGGAGCACGCCGCCAATTTGGCGGCCAGGAAATGAAGATCCCGCCACGAAATTAACCGCGTTCCGAGCTCGATGCCGAGGACTGCTTTTTGGCCGCTTTCGTCGGCGCTGGGAGGGCATGTTGCGACCAAATGCATGGCCTTCGGCCAGGCCAGGGGTGGATTGGTTTGTATTCTTTCCGTTAGAGGGACGCTGTTTTGACTGTCTGAGTTCAGCAGAGACACGTGATATGACCAGCGTGTCGAGTTTTTACGTTGCCTGTAAGGATTTTCAATCATTTTCATGATAAATTCTTCTGTTGGTTTTTGTTTTGCGCCCTTCGAAGAATTCGAAGGTGGTGAATGTTGCTCACCGTTGATTTTCTCACTGCAGCCCCGCGTGTGACAACTTCACAAGAGGCCGTGGTGGTTTGGGGAATTGTAGTGCCGATGTGTGGCAGGTGAGCCCTCGAATGCCGTGCAGATAGTTTGCCCCGGAAGGAAGGCTTTCGTGCTCGAAAGAGGTTCTCTGGCGAAGCATGTGTCGCCAATACCACGTCTAATTACAAGTTTTGCCACATATCCGTGTGATTGTACAGGGGACAATCATATGGGGACAATTATATTGGTGACAATTCGCCCCCTGCGACTGTCCAAAACGTCAGCAAGTTCGCCGCATGAGTCTACAGTGCAGAAGGACTTCATTATGGGGACTGTAGGGAGCAGCACCCTTCGGGCTTGGCTAGTGCCCCGATAGCGGCTGTATGGAAACTATGCTGTTCTGTGGAGGAAAACAGAGCTGCGCTGTGGAGATGGCCATAACGAAACGTGCATGCGCAGCGTCACTACCAGTGACTTCTGCAAACAGAGAACATGACGGAGGCTGTGAGATGCTTCCGAGGGGTGTATGAGGAAAGAAACTGAGAGTGCACAATTGGTATCATATAACTCCGGGTGCAAAGGCCAGCGATGGTTGTCTCTGGCGCTGTATGCAGGTCGGCAGCTTCCATCGCACTTCAGATCACTGTAACGTGCCACCAACGCGATTTGCGCAGGGGATGCTGTGGTTTACAGTGCCCTGCATCGCCTTCGACTGATGGTGACCCGGCAATTCTTTGCATAGTGTATACATGTGATCAATGCAGGCTTGAAACAATGCACACGAAGGTGAAATCTGTGGTGTGCAGTTTGCATGCAAGCAGCAGATGTACATAATTTGACAACGATAGCTTACAACATGGATGTTTTCCTGAGTACACTACAAACCCCCTGGTTGGCTACAAACTCTTTGGTTGGCTGCTGGTGTCCAAGGTTTACCCTGGACATGTGTGAAAGTTGACCCTGTTAGGCTGATGTGAAGCATAAGCAGCACAGATGTTCACTGGATTTGGATAGGCTTGAATTAGGGAAACGCTGTGAATTCAAACACATTCTGGTCTGGTGCAAATGCCATCATGGGCAACCAGTGGTTGCCAGATCTCCACCTGTATCATTAAATATTCAGCGTGGATGCAATTGGACAGTCGCCCCAAGCATATACAAACACATACTGTCACACCTGCACATTTGCTTGTGCCCAGCAAAATGTACACCCTGACTGCTTGGCACTGGAATCGTACCAGTTGGCATGCAATGGATGCAAAGCATGAATGAAAACAGGCTTCTAGCCCCCGCACAGTCAATCCGCAAAGGCTTCCATGAGCGACTTGGTGAGGTCCAACAAACCCTCATCCGAGCCCTTGGGGCCAATCACCCCAAGACCTACAGGAAAGCCATCCACCTTGGACAGTGGTAAACTCACCTACAAAAGCATGCACAGTGGTGTTGCTTTTCATGAAATTGATGAAGACCAGTCAACAACCTTGTGCACTATCAAGTGCTTGGATTGATGATGTGGCTCTTTGTGGCAGGCCCATAGGGCACAACAGTCACCAGCTCAGAAGCAGGAGCTGTGTACTTGACCATGTGATTGAAGTGCGATGTACAGTCAGTCACGTCACTTTGCATCGCACTGGGGAGAGGTGGACATACACATTTTTAACCAAGCAAAGTCGCTACAAGAGGAATCAACTGAAAGGCAGAATGCACAGCTCATGTCCTTAAAGCCCTGGATGATGCCCATCGAGTCATGGACACAATGCATTGAGCGTCCCTTGTTCATATCTGGCCTCTGCGCCCTGGAAATGACAGAGATAATGACAGGGCCTGCTTCACCTTGCTAAAAGCAACGTGTCCATTAGCACCATGTTCGGGCGAAATGGTACAGAGAACAGTCCAGCACTTGTCAGGAGAATGTTGGCAGTGCAAGGCACATGGTGGAGTGCATGATGCTGACCTGAGGCAGGCCTCCAATGCTGGCGATGGATGAGAGGGTCAGCAGTTCTTTACGGAAGGCATCCAGCTCACGCAGTGGAGTGTTGCACAGCGGTGCTGGACCTGGGGCCGTAGGCAAGAACAAGGCACCGTCTTCACCCAGCAGACGATCCAGGTGCTCACGAATCCTGGGAGGACAACATGGGCCACTTGTGTGCAATTGCTGAGCGGCTGGCAATGGTCTTCCGAATAGAAAGTGAAATAGGCAGAATGCATTGTATGCAACATTTCGCAACAAACACGGCAGCAACAGTCATCGCTCATTTCCAAGAGCCTGGGTAGGATTGGGAATGTTAGCAAGTGTTGTCAAATTGCACTTGAGGGTCTGGCAGTGCAGGCACTTTTCAATCCCAGCTCTTTCAGTGCTGGGCAGAGTTTGCAACCATCCACACCACTGCCTGCACCTCGCGCTATGTGCTTTCTTGTGTCGAACATCGCTTCATGCAACACCTCCCTTCTTGTTATGACTTCACACACTGAGTGCCTAGCAGCTGTGACAACAAGCTTGTCTGAGATGGCATGCAGTGAGCACACAAAGTGCATGTTTTCACCCTAGATGTGACTGCCCCACCTGCCAGTATGTATTTTGCACACTGGTTTCGACACATTCCTGTCACACAGATTTGTAAGGCATCTAGTAAAGCCAGTTATGTGGCAAACCTGCTGGGCGAAATGGCCACAGCAACAGCGTTTGTGGGTTTGAGGTGAAGGGAATACATTCTCTCCATGCAACCAGCAGTCGCAGAGGTTCTGTAGCTGGATGTGGCCAGTGATGGCATGGCTTCCGGTAATTTCAACCTTGAAAACGGCATCGACCCAACACTGATATGTGTTGAGCGCAGTAACCACAAAAGTTGGCAGAATGCACTAACAGAAAATTGTGCTGTCTGATATGTTGACGAGTCAGCGATGCATCACGCGATGCAAGGTTGTGTCCACCATTTGGAATGCAAGGAAATCACTCAAGCACAATGACAAGCAGCAGTGGACACGTGGCCACCTTTTACCAGTTCACCCACCTTTGCTGCGAGACTGCTGCTGCCGCGACTTCCTCTGCAGATATCTTTGAAGTCATTTCAAACCTCTCTCTAGTGCCTGGTCCAAAAGTGGGTTTGGCGGATTTTATCCATTCACCGTGACATTCCCACGCCTCCCGCCCCTGGCACATGCACTGAACCCTGTCAACTGCCCATCTTGTCAGCTGATTTGAACAACAGCCTGGGTGATATGGGACAGACAGAGGGGCAGTGGGTTCATCGACGCAGACCACAACACAGTGGTTGAACAGCACAAGTGCATGGGGCACCACAAACTGCACTCCTTTACCACAGGCAACACCACATCGACTTGCGCCAGAAGCCAGTTTGTTTGACAGTATGTAAACCTATCTGCAGGGCAATGCCTTGCACATCTTGACAAATGCTACCGGGGAATCCACACCTGCAGTACCCTGAAGGTAGTGATCCACTGGCTAAGGTCGTCATCTTCGGTCATGCTTGCCACAGTGATCTTTTCCACGTCTCCCAACACTGACACAATGGCTGGCGCGGCTGATTCGATGTCATCCTGAAGTTTTTGCGACGTGGTGGGCTGCGCGTGTGCGAAACCATCGATCGCCCAAAGCCACCTCCTCAGTTTCCTCTGCGGCGTGTTGCCCGACCCCAGCAGAACTTTGCCCACACGCTCAAGGAGGGCCGCATCTCTGGCAAACCTGCAAAGGGGACACAGCAAGTCAATGCCCCAACAGAGACCAGCGAAGGGCCAGTGAAGGCATTGTGGATGATCTCGACAACAGAGATGATGCATGACATTGCCTCACAGCTCCCAGAGCGTCAACTTTGCATTTTGCTGTTCTGGCGATGGGGGGGGGCTGTGGGGCTCTGGCACTTCAAGCCTGGGGGTTGTTCAAATGGAATGATTAATTCTGGCACACTCATGTTCTGTTTGTTACCCCAGCCCTTCATTGCCCTACAGGGGCATGGGCTCAGCTTCTTCGATTGGCTGGGTGAGCCAAGGAATTACGCATTGCAGTGTTGCAAGGAGAAGGAGGGGGGGGCAAAATGGGCACAAATGTACTCACAGACGACATCCAGCATGTTTGTCTGATGCCAACTACAAGAACTCCAAACACTACAGTGGCTCAGTGCTCAAGACACAGCAGCATTGTTGTCCCATTCCTTATTTTCAGTTCCGCAGATCCTGCAACCCCAGGCTGTGCATCCCCACATGAGCAAATCAACTAATCAACTGCTTCGTCTTGAACAACTCCATTGCTTTGCACAAGTCGTTGGACCCAACAACCCTGCCAGAGCATCGTTGCTTCTTGAGAGTCACCCACCATCCACATGTGTCATATGATGGTGCCAATGGCCTGGCAGCATCCAGAGAGATCCGCCCATGGGTTGGCCGAAATCCAAATATGCCATTGTAGCTTGCCGGCACTCGTACTGACCCTGCGGTGTCACTGCCGAGGGAAAAATCAACCTCGTTATTCGCAACAGCAACCTGCAGGCAAGCCCCCAACTCACTCTCCAGCTTGTCCTTGTCTCTGTATTCTGTTTGTCCCCTTTCCAGGAGCAGGGTAGCAACAGGAGTCTTTTTAGGTCATTCACCGTTGAGGCTGTGCCTGTAGCAACTAGTGGGTTCAAACACTCAACCAAACTGTGCAGTGTTCAAAGATCAAGCATTCTGCTGGTACCTTGTGCCATGTGCAGCATCTTGTCCCTTCTGAGAACCCAATCGAAACAGAAACGCGCAACAAGCACCTTGCAGTGCCGTTTAGGATACTGCCACGGCACCACACAGCCTCACCCCCTTCTTGGGCACTGCTCACTCACCGCCGATCCTGAAGATGACCCTCCAGGAACTCTGCCAGGTGCAGCAGGGTTTGTGGGGGTTCCATAATGCACATTTTCTCCATTCAGGCTGTACGCCAGCTCATCCATGTGCACCTTGCCAACCATGTGAGCACCAGCATCTACAAGCATCTAACAGCATGGTGCGTCAGCGAGGGAGGTGAAGGCGCAAGATACTGTAGTATATTAAACCCTTCCGCATCGGTCCGTCCCAACCGTTACGTTTTTGCTCCGCATTTTCGTCCCGGACCGTTACTTTATTTTTTTGCTTGCCCCGCATCGTGTCAGGCGGGCTCGAAGGGCCCTCTAGAGGCTGTATCCCAAGTTTCAGGTGCAACGGACCAGTCCCAAGCCTCGTTCATGCGCGCACCATGCGACATCAACCACCCAGCTCTGGGAACGGTTCCCAAGAGTCTTAGCGACGCCGCGCGGCCCCCCCTCCCCCCGGCCGGCTGTTGGTCAACGCGCCACCGTATACTACGGTAGGTCCCAGCGATGTTCATCCAGTTCAGCACATAAACATACTGAATCTTGGGGTGAATGATCTGTGTTGTCAACATCTGTGCATGAAAGGTGAATTAGTAGTATTTGTCATATGTTGGTAAGCCTTGTGAGCTCCTGACATGTACACACCCATACACAAGTTCAGGAATGTTGACAGCCTGCAGTTACCCCTGCAAAGAAGGTGTGTATTGATCCAGCTGCGCTTGCAGACTTCAATATCATCACCCACATTATGAACAGAGCAAAAGCGTCGATAGTGATTCTGGTGCCCATGTATCGAATGTACACCTCACCCTGGCATAATTTTGACTACAGTAAGGCCTTTGCATTAGACCAATTTAATTCTCAAAATCAGCTTTCAGGGACCACCACTCAGCCCAATGTTGCGATGACTGGTGTTCGCAGCTGTCACAGCAACACAACGTTCCAGGAATGGTCAAATCGTTGAGTAAGAAATGTTATGGGAAAGCGGCTGAGGAAGAATATACAGGTTGCAAAGTTGCAATCCCCACCCAACCTTGTGTCACATTCCACCTTGAATCAGAGAGCGAGCATTGTCTGTATGCAACGAGAGAATCATGCAGCAAAGACACCAGGAACAGTGCGATTGCCATCAGATGCCCATCTGATGGCGATTGCACTGCTCCACAAAGTCAAACGGTGGGACTGACCTGCACAGGCGGGGCAGTTTCCTCCGCTGGGCCATGGGTTTCTTTCCATGTTGGATTGCCAAACCCTGTCACAAAGCCCTTGACCTGACACAGTCGGTTGAAATGATGAACTCAGTGATTGAAATGGAAAGGAAGTATCATTCATCACGTACACAACAAGGGCCCCAGTCACTTGTAAATAACAGAAAGGTGACTGGGTGGAGGGCAGGCAGCTGCAATCCCTGTCACAATGCTTTGGAAATGACGCCACACAACTGGAGATACCAGAGTCATCAGCAAAACGGACAGACAGCCATTGCAACCTTCCTCGACAGACACAGCAAGAGCAAGGAAACCACCACAACAACAAACACCTCTGCAGACACGACGACCACCAAGCCAACGAAGCAAACGCGCGCACGCTGCGCGGCACCCAGCAAGTTGCTCTTGCTCCTGGGCTGCCGCTGAGCACCAAGTTGCCACAGATCTGTTGACCAGAGAATGGAAAAAGGCTGCGCAGACGCCCGTTTCCCGGAATCCGCTCCTCACGTCGAATAGGTCCTTGACCGCGAAGGTCAGCCCCGCAAGGGGACCCGCTTGGGCGCCCGTCAGCGTGACTGCCCTGTCGATGAACGCGCCGCAGTCCTTCACAGAGGTCGCCATGGCGCTCAGGCCCCGCGAGGCCCCGCCGGCCATTCGAACGGCGCGAGCCGCGCTAGACACCCACGGTCGCCCTGGCAGCAAGCCAAAGTGCGCATGAGCAATTAATGTCGAGTTTCCCGCGTGCGGCTGGGGAACTGGCTGCGATCTTCAGCCTACCGCCGCAGCGAGACGGGGCACAGCGGGGCACGTCAGATGCTGGGCATCCATCAAGAACGCAACCGTTGAAGATTCTATCTTTGCTGCGGAATGGCGACCCATGTGACGATCCTGGAGAGCAGAAGGGCAATCGGGCACGAAGAAATGTTGCCACGGCGCACTGGCGACGCGCAAACCGCATGGCAGCCACGGCGCCGTCGTGGCAGCGGATTGTCGACGCTGGGGATCGTCAGCTCACCGAGTGGCGCAGCTTGGTGGATCAGAGGGCTGCGCGCTGCCGCGGGGTGGGGCGAGACGGGCCGCTCTAGCGGCCGCATTCGACCGTCGCTTGGCAAGCGAGGCACTGCGCCGACCAGCGCGCCCCTCTGCAGAATTCCCCCTCCGCGTTTTTGACCGCTTCCCGGCGGGTTCTGTTACAGTAGCCACGGAACTTCTGGCGGTGTAGCGAAGCAGTCATCGAAGTCACGATGTGTCGGTCACGGGCAGGCTGACGCGGAGTATGGTGGGCACCCCGGTTTTTGAGGCGTGGCATTTCGGTGGTAGGATGCTGCCAGCATCCTCTATCTGAAGCGCGGCCGAGGGCAGGCCTAGCCCGCAAGACAAGAGTACGCTCCGGATAGGAACGCCGACGGCGACGGGAAGTTGGCTGCCGCAAGGCGCAGCGCCCTCTGCAAGCTCCCTCTCCCCAAACGCTCTCGCGGCGCCTGCTGCCCTCTTCGGGGGCGCGCACACGTGAGTGTCTGCACCGACGGTGTCGAAGGCTCCAGGTGGCACGATGGAGGGGAAGTCTTCCATCCTGCAGTCGTCCACGCTGGGCGACCTGCGCGCCCTCAAGCACGTGGCGATGCTCAAGGACACGGCCAACGTGGGGGACTGCCTGAAGGTGGGGAAGGTCGACGGTTGGATGGGGAAATGTCGCTGGACGGAGCACATCGGACCACAGCGTGCCAAATGGCCGAGCGTTGGACAGTGATTCGGGGCGGCCATGGCACCCCGACCTGTCGAGGGCCGCGCGTTCGTGATTGCAAAGCTGGAAGGGTCAGTACTGGCTGGGGTTGGCGTGATGGTGGTTATGGGAACATCTGGGGACGATGCTTTGACCGTCTGTTTGGCGGGGCAGTGGGCGTGGGCATTGAGGTTCCTGCGCCCATTCCGGTCCGATGTTTGCTTTTGGCACGGAGCGCGCTGGCCGAAAAGACAGTACGAACCTCCTGGACCGGGCTTTTCAGTCGCCCGCAGTGCGAATGGGTCGCAGGAGATGTGTCCGGACTACGATGATAGGGATTCATTTGCAGGTGCAGGTTGTCCGCAAACAGTGCTAAAGGCTGCACATTTAGCGGGAAACAGAGATGTGCGAGTACCTGGCCCAGGTGCGGTCCCTGTTTTTAATGTGCAGGCTTGGTTAGACGACATTGCTGGAAACGTTTGGTGACCTTGGACTCAATGGCCAAGCGGTGTTGAGGAAGGCATGGGCGAAGTCAGGCTGGTTTGGCTGTTCTTTTTAGCCACGCGATTCGCCACCCCATGTGTGTTCCTTACTTGGAGTGGGCTGCAGGATCAGTGTTGCCTGACAGTTCTTCTCCATTAGCAGCTGTTCTGTGATGGTCTGAAAATTCGCTGTGTGAAATGTGACAGACGATGGCTGCATATAAGATTGTCTCTGCCCCAGTTATTGTTGTAGACAACGAAGAACAGGACAGTGCGGGGCCCTTGTGGCCTTTTACACAGGCCCCAAAGGACGTCCGGGGCTTTGTTGATGTCAAAGATGTCATCCAGCGCTTCCTCGAAGGTCTGTGGGCTGCTCATAATCCATGGCCTGTTGGCCTTGTAGTTGTCCTCGGTTGGGGGATGTGTCTTCCCAATTGATGCTAAGGCTGTCCAACCTCAAGGAGCACACCTGGTGTTTGTGTGTTTGGCAGCTGGTTCATATGTTCTTCCCTTCTGGAAGAGTGCCTCATGTTCGCCCACAAGGGTGTCCATCTTTGCCAACGTTGCCAGAGCCAGCCAAAAAAGCATTACATGGACTGTTATCAGCATTTAGACTTGTAAAAGGCAAAGCATTCATTCTTTTTTTGCTAAGGTTCGTTTTTCCTGTTCTGTTTTCCGCAGAAGTGGCAGGCACAGGCATTCTTGAGTACCCCTCAATGCTGAAGAAGATGCGTGCGCTGGAGGACAGAGGAGCAACATTCTCACGGAAGACCATAAAAGCGTTGAACCTCACAGGTTTGTGTCCCAGCTGTTTAGCTCAATGCCGATGTTCCCTCTGGCTGACACTGCCACAGAGTTGGGCTCTTTTTAGTTCAAAATGTTGTGTCAAATTTGAGAGTCCAGGTTCCCACACTGGAGTTATTGCAGATTTGTTTAGGGCATTGAATTGGACATTTTGTGCTGTGCTAGACTGGATTCATCCTTGTGGATAGCATACAGTCTGGCAGCCACACACAGTGCTCACAAGTTTTCCTGCCTGCAGTGTTTCCCATTGTCACTGTCAATGTTCTTGAAGGTTGTGTTCAGAACATGTTTCAGATGCCCATTGCTGAATGGGATTTACATGCATTTGGCTCTTGACAGTTGATTTGCCATGAACCAGCGCAAGGAATATGGTAGCTATGTTCATAGGGATCAGAGCAGAATTCAGAGATATTCACTTCGTTTCTGAGGATTCCCAACCAGTCTTTTGGAAGAGTACCATCTGTTGCTCACCTTTGTATCACTACCCTCCACATGAAAAATCAGCGTGCGAACTAGCTGTGGACCTCTGGACCTCTGGATCGGTGCTCAAAAGGCCATTCTTCTGTGTGGCCGCAGGAGGGGATGGTTGCTTTTTCCACACTGGTCAACATGAGGTGACCTTGTACGAACTTGCTATTGACCATCTCCTCAAGCCGAACACAAAGTATGAGAGGCACATGGAAGAGAATCACTTGCTACATGTTCGTGCAATACCTTGACAATGCTGGGTAGCAACAGTGCATTGGTGCATAAGTTCATGTTGATATGGACCTTTCCTGTTCACACTGACCTTGTCATGTCTGAACAATCTTTCACTCCAGTTAGCTAGCAAAGTTTGGGTTTGGTCCTATGTTCAGTGAGGTGTGGGATGCAGCTAACAGTGTCACAATGGACCTGAACAAACCAATGGTGTGTCTGGGCACTGTCCTGCAGCACCATTAGTTCCGAAAAGCCTATTGTGTATGAGACAGTGTGGGATCGGTGTCCAACTTCAAGGACACTTTGTGGGGCAAGTACCTGTGCAGTTCTACCTTGCAAAGGCCTTTCTGATTCCTCTTTGTTTCAACAAGAGTAACAGTGATAGACTTAACAGATGTGTTGCTGCCATTTACAGCGATGGGCCAGCAGATGAGACAAGACAAGACATTCACAGGATGGCGATCTTTGACTCTTCTGGGAAGATTGTCAACGTTATCAGTCAATCTGACATCGTCAGGTGCTGCCAAGTCTCTATCTGAGTGTTTCATGGACATCCGCGTGTTGTACTGCATATTGTGGGTTGAAAGCTAAAGATCGATGCTACCTGATTTGGTACCATTGTGGTGCTAAGCCAGGATGGCAATAAATATCTTCATGAGTGTGCTGTGTTATGGTCGATGAGGACACTTGTTGTCTCTGTTGAGGTGTCGTTCCAGAGTACAATGTGTGCCAGGGACTGTGTTGCAAACAACCCGGAATGGTATTGTAGACATTTAAGTGTTGTGTATTTTATATATTGCTCCAAATGCAACGCCTTCCGCAAGGGACTGAGCTGGAAGTCCAATGTGTGTGGACACACCAAGGCAAGGAAAGGAAGGGCTATGCTCGCCAGGCAGTTCCTCAATCCACTGCTAGTCCTGCCCCCACAAGAAAAGGACAGTCTCAGGCAGTTGACAGCGATCAGTGTTGTCCTGCATCTGCATTTCACAGGGAAAAATTGGCAAATCCTTTGCAACTACGAGTCCACAGTATGGACTCCACACCACATGTTAGTGTCAGGGTGCCATCTTGTCTGAACAGAAGTGGACGTCTCTTGCCGTCATTTTATTGTGCTAAGTGACCGTACGAATAGCCTCTACATTTGGATCAGTGCACTGACAGCGCCACAATCCAATTGAGCACACATAAGGGACCCTTTTGTGCCAGCCAGCACACATACTTTGTTCAAAGATATCTTGTTTCTGGCTAACATGTAACTTGCTCCATCTACACTTGTAGAAATGTGGGTTGTTCGCAACTTGACAGAATGCCAGGCAATACAGTGGTGTCATGCCTCAATGGCACGGATTGCCAGAACCATCAGCACACCCTGGAAAGCTGCGCATAGTTTCCAGACGAATAGAAATATCTATCTGGTCTCGCCTGGTGATCGCCTCTGGCGATCGTTAGAAGCGGCTCTGAATGTACGAGTACACCGTCTTGTGCTTCAGGCACGCGGACCCGAAGTCGATGATTTTGATCCTGCCGTCATAAATGCGGTGCATTTATGCACAGCATTTATGGTTGAAAACCTGTTGTGACACCTATAAAGTGTGCATCAGTTTTGTTGATCGACCCTGCTGTCCCCAGGTACCTCTTGGCCAAGGCAGATCAGATGCCTGACATCGCATCCAAGACAATAACCGACCTGGGGATGGCCTCCAAACGCCTGGTCACCGTCCCACCAGAAAAGAGTGCCATCGAGGCCTTGAAAATCATGCAGGACAGCAAGGTTGGGGCGATCGCCCTTGTCAACAGTGAAGGGCAGATTTCGGGAACTTTCAGTGCAACAGACATGAGGTGAGGTTCTCTTTTGATAGGCGGGCTGGGCTACAAATCCTTGTGCAGGAAGGTCGGTCGCTGGATACAGGTTTTGCAGCTGGCTGTTCAGGCGTTGTAGCTGGTTCCCTCTTGTCCAATTGCCTGGTGAGCTGCTTTCGCCACCTTCTGCTGAGATTTTTGGTGTGCCCTTGCACATTCATAACAATGCTTGGAAGTGCAGAATAGTTTCTTCTCAGAACATAGGCCACTGTGTGAGACGATGCTGTCTTAGATTTTGGTGGCTGAGTTGTACCTGTATGATGTCAGGTTGAAGGTCCACTGATTGATTCCCTCTGCTTCCAGATGTTTCACTTTAAGTAGCATCTACACACCAATCAAAATGCTTCGCTCCAGCACCAACATAGCTCAGGAACAGGGATCGTGGAGATTGCCCAGCATGCCTGCGTTCATTCGTGCTGTGTCTTCAACTGATCACCTCTGCTGGCATGATGCAGAACAATAACGCCTGAGCATTTTGGCAGTCTGGCTCTGCCTGTGGGGGAGTTCCTTGCTTTGGAACATGGGACTGAGTACTCTGGATATTCCATCAGTTCGGACACTGACGGCCAGGCGTCCGCAAAAGACTCTGAAAGGCGGGTATCGCTGCCAGGGGCAGAAGTCGGTCAGTCACTGGTGGTGTGTGGCCCTCTGACAACTTTGAAAGCGGTGAGTGGGCATCATGCGTACTGCCGTTGGGTACATATGGGGTGCGACAGGTTTGGCATCAGAATGTTGCCATGCACACATGCTTTGCTTGGTGGATGCTTGACGATGCCATTGTCTGTAGTCACCACAATTGTTGGCTTGTATTACGTGCAGTTTGGTTTCTGCAGACATAATTGATACTGTGCATGTGCAATGCATCGTATGCACAGTTTGGGGATGTTGGATACCCTACCTTGTTGATTGCTTTTCTTGTTGCTGATCTCATCTCCTTGTTGCTGGCGCTATTCTTGACTTCCTGCAAAATGGCCATAAGAATGCATGTGTAGTGTGCTTTCATGGGGGCAGAATCTGTGGCATCGTACAGGCAAACGGTACATGTGCATGTCCTGGCCGTGCAGCACTCAGGAAAGGATGAACGCATCCCTGCATGCAGCACACAGGACGCCACGCTGGTCATAGCACGTGTCTGCCGGGTCCATTTCATCAAGCAGTGTCACTGTAACCTAGCACTCCACAAGGGACTTCACGGTGCCCGTCAAGAGAAATCCCCAGCCCCACGTCATCACCTTCAAACAGAACCTTTGTGCAGACCACTTGGTGTGCGTGTTTCCCTGGCACTTGTTCGGATGTTTGCAGACGTTGAACGGAAGACCCACCAGTCTGGCATGGGGTCGATTTCTCAACTGGGCCCTTACTATAGGATCACCCCAAACTCTGCTTTGTGTGACAAACAGGCAGAAAATTCGTCTTGACATCATTCTTCCTTCTGGACCAGCGCATGAACGCTGGTATTCGAGTGTGTGATCCGCGGCCTGGAATTGTCAGTGTCAGAAATGTGGAAAGGTGCCGCAGCACCATTATGTGCCTGCACACCGTTTCTTTAGATGCCACGTCCACGGCCACCACCTCCGTGCACGTCAGTGTTTGGTTGCAGCTGCAGCACGAGCAAATTGATGTTCGCTGTGCAGGTGATGAGCTTGCTGACCAGGAATCGCGTCCATCGGACGTTCGTTGTCGATGAGAACATGAAGCCGCTCAGCGTCATCACGTGCACTGATATACTGCGGAAGCTGTGCGAACTCGAACAGTGATGGGCTCGGTGAACTCGCGCTGCCGACGCACTGCACCACCCGTTGTTCAGCCCTGGTGCAGTTGGCAAGTCGCAGTTTGTGCATAATGTTTGAAGCTGGCTCCCGTTCAGTGCATCGCCATGTGTGGCGGTGCGTGGAGGCCGCCGCATCTGTTCAAGTCTTGCAGGTGGCGCATATCGGACGTCATGTGGATGGTGGGGATCTGCACCGGCTGAGGTGTGCAGTGGCTTCCAGCGACCCAACCCGTGACTGCCAGTGTGTGCAGTGATGTCCGAGGGATCAGCATGAACGATTCACGCTTTTGGACAGGGGGACTATCGTTTCGGAGAAGGGGCCCGTGTCGTCAGTGTCAGTTCGACTCCTTATTGTGTATAGAAACACCCTCTTATGTACAGTTGCTCGTGTGAGTAGACCGAAGACTTTCTCGGCCCCGTCACCTGTGCACATGTCTTAGATTCTGGTTCGCGCCCCTGGATCTCCGACAGGGTGCCGCAATACTGCAGTCCGCGCACAGGTGTCGAAGTTTATGAGCAAACGCACCCTTAACAGAACCAACTCGGAACAAGGTTTGCGCCTCGCAGCGTGGAATAACAACTGGGCAACTTCACGGGTGACATTGTGTTGGCGGCAGCGTGCGCAAGTTAAGTGCCACTGCAGTTTGGGCATGCTATGACTCAGCCGACTACATCCATGAAACCCAGCCCCAACGATATGAGCAGCGATCTAGCCGTGTCCGCAACGCCAGCAGAAATTTCAGAAGCCCAAGACGCTGTCTCACTCTACTGTTACATCTGCAGCCTAACAAAGCAAACCCAGCGACCCAGGGAAGTGCCCAAACCGATAGACTCCGCCCCTGTTCCCAACTCCCACAGGCAAAACACCACCAACCCACTCCTTCCCCTGGCCTGCCATGCCCTGGCACTCCCACACCCAATAGGTGCCGAGATACGTATGTTTCAACAGCAGGCGAGGCGAAGTCCCCACGCGATTATCGCTGCGGGAGGAAGGCAGAGGGATTCAAAGTTGTGTGGTGGCCACCGCCACATTTCGCTATTTCAGACCACCATTGCGCGCCACGTTCAATCACTGCAGTGGCCACTGCTAAACAAGCTGCTCACATATTCACAAGTGCTGGACACGTGTCCTCGGAGGAGAAAGTACGGACACGTCCCTGTAGCTTCCGTGATCCTACAGCACATTTCTCGAAACCAACGCCTCTCCATGCGTTTGGTGCATGCAGCCCAGCCCGTACATTGATGCCTTCAGCATCAGAAGAGCACTCAGCCCTTCCCCCTTGCCTTCAATGACTGCAATATGCGGTTCATTCGGTCATTCAGCGATTCTGCACCCTCTGCTGGAAGCCCAACGCCCTGGCTAGATGCAGCATCAACGGGCAACACCTGCGGACCCACGCCCGTCCCAAACATCCCGGGCCTCTCCCCATCTTTGTTCACACCACTTGCTGGCACCGCGGCGCCACCGGCAGACTGGAGACGACTGCGCTGTTGGTGTTTGGTCATGGGGTGTGGGGACACCCCACCCGTGGGGCGCCCAGGGCGGTTGGCAGGCTCCAAAGTCTTCGAAGCAACCACCTGCTTCCCCTGGCTTTGGCTTGCGCCCAACGCTGCCCCACTCCTCTTCAACAGACCCAAGAGGACATCGCCAGCACTGTGCAGGTCTTTCACGCCAGTCGTGCACACTGGGCTCTGTTTGACTGGCTCTCGTGACGAAGGCCTGGCATCAGGAGATGGGCCACGTCCACTCTGCGAAACCTCCAAGCAACCAGCCTGCCCTGTCTCATTTGCTGACAATGGTGCCGGCGTCTCCCCAGGGCCGCCGTCGGTTTGAACACACGCGTCCATCAACTTGCGCTTCTTGGTAGGCGGCATCGTCCAGTCACCGACGCTGGGGACATGCCTAGCCTGGAAACTTGACACGCAGCCAGTGACCTTCATCTCAACGCCGTCTTGAATCATCTTCACAGCCAGGCGGGCGGTGTTCCGGGCATCGTCCATGCCACAGTGGTTCCTGCCCTCCCAGTTGAGCTTGAGCAGAGCCACACTCTGCTTCAGGGACAGCCATGACCTGTACTGCTGGGCGAAAAGCTTCTTCAGGTTTATCCATCGGTCGAAGTATACTGGCTTTAGGATGTGTCTCCACCAACACTCGAGCTCAAGTTGCTCCTGCGGCACACAGTACTTTTCAAAAAAGCAGGCAGCAATGGCAGCCGTGTGACTGGCGCTCAACTGTGTGGCTGCTGCCGCTGGTCCTGTTGTCTCAGCTGTTAATAAGACACCAGGTACTTGCAACACTTTGAAGCATCATGTCTCGGCCCCATGCCCACACACACACTGCAAATACCATCCATGTTTATGCACACAAGGGCAAGCCTGATTGTGCACTTGCGATGCCAGCTGGTCCCTGACACAGCCCGATTGCTGCTATTACAGACGCCCCAAACTAGGCAATCAAATTGTACCAGTGCTGAAAATGGGCTCGCAACCATTCAAGCCTCTTACAAGGAGCTCGATTGCTTCATATGCAGAAGTGCATTCAATGCAACCAGATTGTGTGCAGCCAGACACCATCTTGTGCCACTTCTGGCAGAGCTGCCTTTGTGCACTGTGGCAGTTGCAAGCTCAAACGTGTCACCTACCCCCATGTCCCAGTTGGTCCATGTGCAAGGAACGAACGCCTTCCCTTCAGCTAGTATGCCTTTTGACTCCAGCCAGTGCTCGTGATCCTCCAGCACAGCCATGAGCGACTCCCCAGCATCAACCTGCTCCTGTTTTATACCTGTGAGTTGTTGGCAAAAAGAGGTGAGGCAAGGGTTGACAGTCGGGCGTAGATATTTCTGGTACCCATCAGGCCGAATTTCCAGGGTCTTTGCATCGATGACGACACAGGAAAACTCGATGATTTCCTGCAGCAGCAGCAGCAGCAGTTGCCTCCAATCAAATTGTTGCAGTGCTGGCTGCTCATGCTCGGCGGTGCAGGAAGATGAACATGCAAATTGAATGAACTTATCCTTACAAACAGTGTAGCTGTAGTTATGTATAAAGTCCCTGTAAAAATCTCACACGTGCATGTCTGAATATTCCCCACTCAACATTAATGCCAAGCCCCAGGACAAAAGCAACCAGCCCAGTTACAATCCAACCAGCCAAATAGAAATCTGTGCAACAGGCTATAATCAGAACAAGGCAATTCAGGCCGTGGCTTCCATCTGCTGTGAACCACGTTTATGAAACCATGGCAAACCCCCCGCACAAAGTAGACAATATATAGGGAGCAATGAATCAGATTTCCACAAATCGACCTTGCTGTGGACGCAGCCCAAACAGCATACTAGTGATACTGGATGAGAGGTGACGAGATTTAAGGACAGCGACGTGAAGTCAGCCCAACATTACCTTGCTGACCACGAGCAACAGGCTCTTCTAATCACACATTATCCCCAAACCACCCCCAACCAGGCTTGGACCTGCAAGGAGTGATAGATTCTGCAAAATGCCAATCCAAACACGCCTAAAAACAACTGTTGGCACCAAAAACGCTGACTTGCGGTGTGGGACAGGTTCATCTGGCAGCTCCATTCGTTCTTGAGACAAACGGCAACAAGAATTTCGACACAGGGGCTCGAATGCCCCAACCACGAACTTCCAGTGACCTCCTGCGCAACCCCCCCCTCCCCCCGAAGTGAGGGCACCCCACCTGCGGTGCAACTTGGCTGGGATGGTCGCAGGTCGCCTCGAAATCGTACACCACGTAATGGTCGAACCCAAAATCACGGCACTGGCTGCCCGCAGACGTCGAGAACTGCACAGGCCGATCCGCGGGTGCAGTCCCATTCTCCGCCGCATCAACCCCCTCCGCCTGGCCTTCTTTGTCACCTGCCACCCGTTGCCCAGTTCCGCCGCGCCGGCAAGGGTGGGCGCTCCCATTCTCAACAATCTCGCCGGCGCACTCTTGTGCACCTCCTGACGCACCGACTTCGCTTCGTCGCGCCGCGCTACCGACGGCAGCCGTCCCCTGCGCATCGCCGCCCATTGCGACCGCCGCTTCACTGCGTACGTCTGGGGCGCTGGCCTTGCCCACGCCCGTCGATTGCTCAACCGCGCCACGGTTAAAAACCCAACTACAGACTCACGGGCGGACTTCTCGCGGCGGTCGCCCGTCAAGAGATGCGAGCCCCCCAGCAAGGGGAAGGTGGGAAGAACACAGCGCAAGAGGACTCGAAACTTTCCCGCAGCGCAAAGCCCACGCCTAAAGCGCAGGCACCAGCCGCAACGGGACCCCACAACTCCGAACCCCAACCCCGAACAAAAGAACCACAATCTCAGCTGGACACCCACTGCGCCAAATGTCCTTCGCAACAGAAACAAGGCCAAAGCTCCAGCATAATCCCCTCCGCGCGAAATATCTTGGGCAGGGCTGGTGGCACGTATCTTCTTCCGCTGACAAAGCCAACGCCGGTCAGCGGGTCAGTGGTTTAGGGTTTAGGGTGCCCGAACAAGGAGGGGTCTTCATGGAAAAGACAGTAAGACTAATTTCATGCCCCAGAACCAGCGCTGACTCCTCGCCACGCCCCGCTCCACCTGGGGTGCCCACAGGCGACCTGCCGCCTGCGGGCACCTACGGCCCCGGATGGACCCGCCACCGGGCCTGGGCGGCCGCGCGTGGACCGGCCTGACAAACTCATCGCCGGGCGACTGGGGCGAGGCCTGTCGGATGGCCGAGCGCCGCCTGGCCGCCGGCATCGCGGATGCCATCCCGGGGATCGTGTCCTGGACGCAGCCCGACCTGGAGGAGAAGGGGCTGGAGTGGCGGGCGTGCAGGCGGACGGTGTACGAGGTGGTGCTGATGCACAACTCTTCGGGTGCCAAGGACGCGTACCGGAACCCGCGGTGGAGGGCGCCGCGGGGTGGCAGGTGGGGTGGGATTTGCCACAAAGGGGGAAAGAAACTGGACATACGAAGGGTGCCCCCTCCCAAGCAAGTGTGTGCGCGACTCCTTTCCATGCTGTGAAAAGACGCCACAGAGTCTCCGGTCCGAAATGACGAGCACGCAGCGCAGGCAAGGGCGGCTGATGGGGTAAGATTTGTTACAGAGAGAGAAAGCAACGGATCGTACAAAAGGCACCCTCTCCTGAGCAAGTGTGTGAGAGACTCTTGTCCATGCTGTGAAAAGACGATAAGAGTCTCCGATGTGAGACGCGAGATGGTTAGCACACAACACAAGCAACGGCGGCAGGTGGGGGAAACGATGTGGGCGTTGGGGGCGCGCGAGGCCTTGGGGAATTGCGCTTCGGGGATGATACGTTGGTGGCCCAGTGAGGAGGCGCGGGAAGTTGGCAAGCGTGTGGGGAAAGGGGGTGGGAGAGAAGCCGAGGCTGGTATTGCGATGTCTGGTATCGCGTTGATGGAGTTGACATTGGGCATCAAAGCCCGTGAGGTGTTCGCGTGCTTGTGTTGGATGCTGCTGACAACCGAGGGAATGGTGAACATCGTACGGTTGGTGTGGAGCCGCGTGTGGACATCTTGATCTGTATGGCAGCGGAGAGCGGATTGTGTTTGAAGACTACCGATCACCTGCCGACCAATGCCAGCGGCACCAGTGCCAGCAATTGCGTAGCGTTCGCTGGCCATACTCCCAACGTTTTCCAGAAGAGTTTGGAACCAACTCTTGTGACATTGGCGAGCCTGCCCTCGGTGACATCTGTGAACAAGACAGTCCATTTCCACTTTGGAACACATCGTTGATCACACTGAGTATCACCACAGCTGCCCAACAGCCTCCTGTCGATGGCTGGGCAGCGATTCATCTTTTCCAGGCAGATTCCACGAGGGTGGAATAGCACTGAACTAGCTTTCACGTTTCAAAGGATTCTTTGTGCATCTGGCTTCTCCTTGCTTTCGTTTGCGTTGAGTTGCCACAGTTTTGTACAGAGCTGCAATTGCTTCCAATACTGAACTGCAAACCCACAGCCAGTTGCCAGTGTTCCCAGGACTCCAGAGATGTGGATGGATCCCAAAAATTGCATTTTATGTGCTTTAGGATTTTCAGCTAAAAGTGTTGACAGACATGGGTACACCCATCACCCACCCTTTGCGCATTTGAAATCTGCTGCTTAAAGCTGAGCAGTCACAAATGCTGGAGCACTGGTCATGGCTACCAATAAAAGCATGCCACATATTCAGTGTTTCCCATATTTTCCCATAACAGAAAGCGTTTGGCTGGTTTGCAGACTGCAATGGAGTGCCCATGCATTTGCAGCTACCCGACCTTTAGTATCTCTTCACTGTTTGTGATCTGCAGGTATCAACCTCCAGCTGGCTTGTCTGTTCAGCCCTGGATGAGGATTGCAGAATGGTCCGCCCGTGGTGCGCTGGCTGCCAACTGGGAACAAGGGGGCCAGACCGAGCACGGGCAGTGGTGGCAACGGGAAAGGGAGGAGAGGAGAAAGGCAAGGCAGGAGAGTCTGCGCTCCATTGGTCACCAGCCAGGGGACCTCTTCAGCCCGGATTTGTGGAGGTGAGCAACGTGCAGTCAGGATCTTGCACGTGCAACTGCAGTGAATGGTGTTGTGATATGTGATGTGACAGTGAAGGCAGAAGAATCGCGTGGCTGTGTTTGGGTGCCCATAGAAATGTAGGGTTTTGTCTTGGTTGGATGTTCGTAGGAATCACAGTGGCATTGCCTGTAACGAAAGCACAGTGGGCACATCACTGTACCGAGGATGTTGCAAACTGTGGAGCCTGCCACGTGCCAAACCGCGTAAGAGCTCTGTGGCTTGCTGGGCGTGGAATGTGGATGCGATTGTCCACAAGTATCCCTGCTCCAAACACTTGTGGACATTTCTGTACATGACCTTCTTGAACGCTGTGAATCACAATGTTCCTCCTGTTTGCTGTCTTTTCAGCACCAATTTCATTGCTTGGAGGCAGCCTTTGGCCACTGTTGTTGCCTGAGCTTTTGGTCAATGCATTGCATCGGGTACATTCAGTAGATTTGTACTAGCCTGTCGTCAGAAAGAACTCTATTCTGTTTGTGCCTGCCTTGGGGCCGGCTGCCAAATTTGACAGTACAGTACCACACTGGCGATCATCTGTGCTGTGAAAGGCAGGGCTGGCTCGCCTGCTGTTCAGGGATCTGATTGAGATGCAGATTCGACTTTCTGGAAGTTGACACTTGCTGCGACTTGTTGTGGCTGGCAGGAAAATCGACATGCGACGAGGCCATCAGGAACAGTCGCATTGAGGGCAGCCTCGGTGCTGCCAAAGGTGCGCGACATGTCTCTTGTATGTCCGCTCTAATCTGAGTGGCCTCCTTGTTAGCTGGCTTGAAGCTGCAGCCCAAGCTGGATGATCTTGGCAGTTGATTCCTACAGCTACGTCATACACTGGACATCTCCTTGCCATTGCAATTGGGCCTTATTCTATGGCAGTACATACGAGGGCAATGGCCTGCCGGAGTAGGAAGCCAAAAAATGAATGACAGGGACTGTGCGGTCGTGCTTACTGTATCCACTTGAGGGTGCGGGGTCAGCCTTGTGGTTCGGTTCCATAGCTTTCTTGTGACTCTACTCTGGGCCTTGGGCTCGCCCTGCCACGGGCTCCCACTGCCATGCACAGCTAAACACAAAGGCCGTGTCCATGCCAGCCTGTGCAGCCACGGGTGCAGGGCTATGAGGAGTTTGAATGCGACCGTGCTCGCCAGGGCGGCTGGACCGAGCTGTTGCCTTTGGGACAGCGCATAATGCAGTCCTGCGCACAGCAGATATACAAACTGCTCAGCGCAGGGCTGTTTCATGTACGTGGCACATGCATCCTGACACTGTGGGCATGTTGTCTGCCCGCAGCAGATGGCCGGCAATGGGCGGCCTCGGATGCATGCAGGCCTCACATCTGAACAGCAGCACCACATCCAAGCATGCGCACGACTGTTTGCCCTGCTGGCATTTGTCGGTGACAGAGCCCTTCAGTGCCTTGCGTGATTCCAAGGGAATTCTTTCAATTGGGATGTGGGCTGGAAGGCTGGCAAGGTGATTGATCTCTATCGAGAGAGCGACTGTCTCTTCCAGCGAATTGCACGTCCAGTAGATTATTACTTGCACATAGCTATAGGAGTAATTGCTGTTAGCCAGCCGCAGAGTGAGAAGGACATTGCCGGGTGAGCCTGTGCAGGTTTGGGCTCTCATTGGCTGTATGTAAAACCTTTGCAATGTCCGATAATGCAATTTCTAGGTGTGAAACTTGTGTAGTTATGTGGGCAGGACGAAAGGCAATTGCCCACTAATGCAATTTCTAGGTGTGAAACTCGTGCAGTGATGTGGGCAGGACGCATGGCCGATGGGTGGGGATTTGTTCGAATGCCGCTTTGTTTCCCGGATCTGGAGGTCGTGCAGGGTATGAGGGCAGTGAAAACCTAGACCCAATAACTGGCCCGTACCCGAAAATGAGTTGCGTGACGTTCATGACATCAGGTCTAGAAATGATGGGCATCGGGCATTTGTGGACCGGCATCGTGCTGCTCGGCCCAATGTCCCGTCGCTTATTGGGTTGATGCTCCCACAAACCAACAGCCCAAGACAGGTGGACTTCAATGTCTTAACAATGTAGAAAACAGTGCTCCAAAACCTCACTGGCAACATCAGCTGGAAGCATTGCAGTGCGTCGACACACCACTGTGAAGAACTTGAAATCCCCGTTGCCAATTGTGGCGAAGAGCTTTTTTTTTGAGGGCACTGCTACATAACCCTCGTACTGCTAGTAGTATATATTAACACCGTGTTTTGCAGACGTAAGCAAGCAGCGCGGCAGTGCCGCATTCACAGCTACCGCCGATTGCTGCTCCAGATCCTCACAATATGAGACGGGGTGGCCGCAATGGCTCAATCAAGGGCTGACAGGTCGTTTGGCTTTATTTGCCGTAATTGACAACACTGCACGTGCACCTACTAGGTGGTGACGTGTCCGTGTCCAGCATTCATCATCACCATGATTTTTTACAGAACAAGGCAATGAGGTAGCCGCCAGCTTCCTATTTTGCCTGAGCAAAGCAGAGTCGGTGATTGGTTCATTGGAATCTATTGAGAAATACAAACTAAATCTATCATCTATGAACTTTCGATGCCTAGAAGCGATAATCGATGGTAATACATCAAACGAAGTGTGTTTGCAAGTTGGCGAGCTGGAACTTTAGCAAAAATTACTTTTGCATTGCGATATCGAAAAATGCGAGAGTGGCTTTGACGGATGTTGTCGTAGGCTTTGCAGTGGAAGAGAAAATGGATCTCGTCTTCAGGTGCCAAGTGGCATAAAGGACACAATCGCGTTGAAAATTCTGGAATGGATTGTCTCGCTTGGTGTTGGTGATTCTCGACTCCTAGAAAATGCACAGCGAAAGCGTAGGAAGAAAGTCCTCAAGGAGATAGATAGGTGGTAAGGTTGACAGGAATCGTTCATATCGGTAGACTGGTTTGATGTGCTTGTACCTACGCTGAATTCTTGAAGAATGGTTGGTGAAGACATTGGCGATGTGGACGTGTTGGTAGATCCGTTGAAAGGACTGTATGTCAACTGGTATAGCCTCCGTGAAACGGAGATCCGACCAGAATCGATGGAAGAAGGCAATGATCCGTCCATATCACGATCGAGGAATGGTAGAGAATTGTTGAAACCCGGACTGGAAAATGGGGCCATGAACCCGAGACTTGGGTAGTTCCACCATTCGATTCCAGTATCGCATCAATTGTCTCCATAAACAAAATTCTAAAGGAAGTGCTCCCATTTCGGCATATATAATCCTCAGTGGTATATGGCCAAGAAGGTGTTCGAGTGCCATGATGTTACAAACAGCTGACTAGGACCGACAGGAGGATGCCTACACTTAGGAACAGCAATATGACTTAACGATCAGCCATAGACGCTCAATGAGAGTCATTAAAGGCACAGCCACTATCACAGCCCTGTCAATCGCCCAGGAGTTCTGAGCGTTCCGCTCCTGCACTTTTACCAACTTAGCTCCTAAGAGCTTACAGGACGATGGAAGTTACCACAGTACGCAAATTCAAACCCAACAGGACTCCAGGGGTATTGTCGAGCGCTGCCGAAGCGAGGCGCAATCCCAGCACTGAATTTCTCTCAGCTGCTTAATGCTCTGCCTAGCAGCGGTAATTCAGCACCGGTCAACGAGGCGACCCCTTACGCCACCTTTCACAGCTCCTGAAACTTCGTTCAGTGAGTCGCCAGCACTTCAAAAGATTCCACGCAGCTTTGCCATCGTCGCACACTGGTCACTGACCGGAAACTTCGTTCCAATCCACTCAGTGACCAAATCGCAGGCGGCAAAGACGTCAATTGACAGCTGCCAGCGCTTCGCCTCGTATCCTGTCACTGCGACCACTCCAATCCGAATCCAACGAGCTCGATAACGTATCAGAAATTCAGATATGGCCCCAATGGCCAGTTCTGACCCTCGTGGGTCAATCGACAACGCTGATTGCACCGCTCATACACGATGCAGCGAAATGCAACCAATGCACAGCAGTGCTGCGATGTTTCTCACATCGCGAGCGATCAGCACGAACTTCAAATACTTGAAAATCGACACACGCCGTCCCCACAGCTGCATACAGCGCAGGCGGCCTTCAGGTCAACACACGGTCACCTTGTAAGGTGATCCTTACAGTGCAAGGAGGCCTGGAGCCTTTACACTTCCAGCCGTTCCCTCACAGCACCTCCCCTTGCTCCACTGACCCACGCCCTGGTTCATTGGACTCCACACACCCACAGCGTGGTTGTTCTCAACGGAACACCAGCCATTCAGACCACAGGAGCCAAAACAAACGGGTGTGAGGATTGGGGGAGAGGGGAGACAAAAAGGACACTCACAATCCAAACACAACCACCTAAATACCCCCCGCCAGCTCTACCGTCACTACACTTCAACGACCCTCGGACATTCTAACAGACCACTTGAGAAAAAAGGCCAGAGTGTCTCTTGTACTTCTCAAAACTTCCCATTGACCTTCATACAGACATTCCCACTATGGCACCAAACGGCTTGGTAATTCCATGCCGTCATCATCCCTTGCTGCCCGCCATGCCCACTATTCCGCGCCATCCCATTCACCCATCCCCGCGCGGTTCCTGGCGACTACCGCGGAACGAGCGCGGAAGGCCTAGCGTTCGTTTTCCATGGCCGCCACCCACTGTAGAGTGAACGCGAACGTTCCCTCCCCCTCGCCCGCCGCTCGTCAAGCCGCGGTCGAGTCCACGGCCCCGAAGATCCATCGGTTGGGGAGGCCGGAGCCGCGGATGGCGCCCCATGCCAAAGCGCCACTGGCCCCCGCCTCGCAGCCCTGCTTGACGAGAAAGGCTGCCTCACTCGGGACGAGGGGAGCGCCCAGCTCGCGCGTTCCTCGGGCGGCCGGGTCTGGATGCACCTCGCCTTGTCGCGGGATGGGCGCCATCCACCGAGTGGGGATGCGGATGGGCCCCGCCATCGCTTCCTCGCCCAACCCCTCGTCCGCGTCGCGACGCACCGGCACCCAATCCGGCAGCCTGCTCTACTTGATCCGCGCCATCTGCCCAACTTTCAGCGCTTTCCGCGGCGAAACGGCAGCGTCGCTCCGTTCTGACCAGCGGCAGGTTGTGGGGCGCGGAGGCCTTGGGGGGCAGGATGCGGGGATGTGCCAAACGTGTACAACGCGGTACAATACAAAAATTACCAAAGGGCAGTTTCCCATACAGCCGCTAAGCAATAAAGTATTGTCAGCACCCGTATACAACGTCCCATCATGCTCCATTGGACCCTAACACCCTTCCAGTACTTGTCCTGTCAAAGTCCTAGGACTTTTTGAAAAGTTCAGGTCCATTGAAGGACAACCCCTACGGTCCATGGCCTTCTCAAAACGGGTCAGAAATTGGCCGTTTTTCCTTCCGAAAGTCACTCAAGAGGTTCTTACAAAACGACCAGCCTCTCATTCAGGGTCCCTCACCATACGCCCTGCACACACCGTGCCTCTTTGTCCCCGGCTAATAGTACTGGAAAATCTACCATAATCGCATACTAAACCCAATTCTGTACATCCCAAATCCATCACTGAAAACTGTATTGTATCCCGTCAGCCCGTGGGCCTATCCAGCTCGTTTTGGCCCCTTTCTTTGGCCAGCTCACAGCCCAGTCACAGCCGTCCGTGCTGCCCGTAGAGTGCCCTTAAATTGACTTCATTGTTGATCATTCTGGACGGTTCTGCTGAGTGACAATGCAAAACAGCGAGATGGAGGATGTCTCAACTGTAAATGCATCGATTCATGTGCACTGGAGAGAAGCTGAGCGCGCACACGTTTGCCTTGAGCATTCAGCAGCTGCAGGACCGCCAAATGTAACCGTATGTCATGCGGTTCAAAGTAACTTCTGCGGAGCACATTGGCCTTTCCTTTCTCTACGGTTTTCTCTCGATTACAGTGATGGCCATTTACTTGAGCAGATTGGACTGTAATCGAACAAAGGCAAAGAAGTTGGCGAAAGAATTGAGTTTGGACTTTCTCCAACTGATGCCATTGAGTCTTCATGAGAAAGGGGCCCCAAAGAGGAAAGGCATATCCAACTGATCCCAAAACATAAGTCTTGAATAGGTTGTATGCAATTTTAGGATCGGTAATGCAAAGAACACGTAGCTTTTGAAGAATTAATCCTTGAGCTCGGGTGCCCTTCCCAATATAGCATCAAGATGGGGCTGAAAAATGATCCGACTTTCAGAAGATATTCCAATGCCTAAATAAGCATGTTCATTTGTAATTGAAATATCCCAATTGTCAAACCTATATTCATCAGGGGCTGCAGTAAAGAAAGCCATGATTCGAGCATTCACTGTGGCAAGAAAACGAACATGCCATGCAATGAACACTCCCATTCTTGGCGCAAGGATGACAAAATTCTCACCGATTCTCCAAACGATGATGCCGAAATCTCCAGGGCGAAGGCACACAACACTCTGTGGTAGCATGACCAAAAGTGCGCACAGGAGGACCACGACCGGGCACATGCCATCCATACTAAGGATTCCACAGTTTGTTCCCAAATGTTTGTTCGATTGCGCCATGGGCTGATGTTGGCCACCAAAAAGCGTCTTGTATGTTGAGGGCTGCATGAGAAGGGCCTCGAACCGATGACGACACTGCCAGGGCGATTCGCTGCAATGTTGCGCTATCACTGCTGGCGGAGCAGAAGATTAAAGGCGCGTTGGCCGCTATATCGAAATTGTCCTGGGATTGAGAGTTTTTTTCGTGCGCAACCGCCAGCGCACATAAGTTTTGAAGGGCCAAACGACGGCCAAAGGAAGTACACAACGCGGGAACAACATGTGTGCACATGACCAGGAGCAGCACTGGCCATTGCCCCAGAGGTGCAAGGGCAGTGCATTGTCACTGGTGGCTCGCCATTCTCATTCTTCATTCTCATGACATACTGCCCCCTGTTGTGATGTTCTACTTTGCAAACACACAATTCCCTGCAATGCCTGATGGGTCATGTACTGTGGGTATGGCACGGACGGTGACATGCACATCATTGTCCTGACACCGTATGTAGGAATTCTTCGTCTTCTTCTTCCCCTGCAATACAAGCTGATTGTGCTCACCACTCTCACAATTCAGCCTTGCGTGGAGACCAAGTGCGGAGGACCAAGCCTCCAGGCTGCCTTGAAAGTTTCCATTGCGGATGCAGCAAGTCTTGACCAATATCTCAAAGCACAGCTCAGACGTGCACCACGGCGCATGGAAGAAGCACAGCCAATAACAACAGAGACAAAAAGGGATCTCGCGTCCCCACATTCATTTCCACGCTTGAAGACATCGGACCTCGCCAATAAGTCTCTCCACTCATCCTAGCTACCCGCACCTTGGGTCACCAAGGTACACCCTCGCCACTCTGATCCTGCGATGCCTCGCCTGCCATCATAAGCGCCACCTTAAGGCAGCGTTTTCTGCCCCACACCACTCCCCACTCCAATAGCCAAATGCCTGGAAGGTGCCTGCAGCACTGCTGCAAGGGCAGTCTACAGTTAGGCGGCAACAAAATCGTCTTGCCCCAGTGCAACACTCATTGGAAGGCCTGCCGTCCACATGCAGGCAAGACACACACACACACACACACGAGCTGCCCTTCAGCCCTCCTTCGCCTCGCCTGTCCATTCCATCGCGTCATATAACAGGAGGCAGCGATTGTTCTGCAGCTGCCAAACCCCATGCAAACCCTGTGGCAAACCCCATGCCGCCATCCCTGCGCTACAAGTACAAGTCTTTCCTTTTGTCTGCCTCCCATCAGGGCAGGCGTGGCACCAGCACTTAGCGACACACACAGCCAAACATTTGCTCACTTCAATGCAGCCCTCCCCTTTCCCTGCCAGCCAACCCATGCCAGACTCCCAAGTACTGCGCTCCAACATCCACAACCACTCAAAAAACTTCCAAAAATACACATCTGTGCCCCTTGTTATGCGCTGCACATCTCGAAGAAGAGATATCAAGAGAACGGGCAGATTGTAACAAGCCATATGCACAGTCTTGAAGCGTTTGACGCCACCTCTTCATCCAAAACTCGTTTCTCCACGAATCAATGTGTCTTTGGCCTAGGCCTCTTCCGTCGATTGCTGGGCCGAAAGCCATTCTCCACAGTGATTCTGATCGCCCTCTCAAAATTGGAGTACCCCTCCTCAAAGGAGCGAATGAATCCGCTTACAAGCCGATCCAAGCTAAAGGCAAACTGCATCGTGGCCACATGAATGCCCCGACTGTAGTCCCCCTTGATAACTTTGCTCACGACAGTCTCTAGGTTCTGCACAAATTCGTCGCTATTCTGACGCAGGCGGTCTGCCAGCAATTGCCTCGCCTTCCTGTCGAAGAGCTCTTGGTTCAGCAGTCGCAGGCGCTTCTCCAGGCGGTTGGAAAGCATTATGCGCTGCTCTCGGAATTGCTGACGAAATGTCTTCAAGTTGTGGGAGGCACGTATGCGCTGCAGCTGCAGGCAATATGGCAGCATTGTGGGTGGCCACTGCAACTGTGGACTTGCAAGAGCAAGATGAATTGCACGAAGCACTATAACGAAAGCAAAACAAAACAGGGTAGAAAAGAAATAACATAAGCTGGGACGTATGGAAAACTGTATTTGCCATTTCACAGCTAGTGAAGTCAGCAAGCACTTGGAAGCAAGGTTGATACCAATAGATGAGGGAGCAGCAACAAACGGAATGAAACCTGTCCTTGTACTGCAGCACCACATTTGGCGAGTCGGTACAATATACACCCCCACAAGCACTACTGCACTGAGTACGGCAGATAAGCATGCCCCAGCTGCGGCAAAACCACTGAGCCAGCCGTCTAACATTCACTAGGCAGCAAACACATAAATGCAAGATGGCACAGATGGCTTCCCAAATGGCCAACAATGCATAGTACGCGATGTGGGTGACTCCACGCTCGCCACGTGTCACTGCCTTGCCAGCCGTGTGGAGCTTCCAGGTGCAGTGCCTACCCTGAAAAGACTGACATTCATTTCCTTCCGGGAGTAGCCCTTGGACAGGTTCCGCAGCACATAATCGTTGTAATCCCGGATAATCCTCAATATCAGATCTGATGTTGAGACTCCATCCGTCCGCTTGGTCGCCTTGAACTTGCCAGACTTCTTAACCTGTGGTGCAGGCGTTGTCATGCAGACGAGTAAACAGTACCCAAGAAGCTGGCTTCAAGGTGCAAGACAGCAGCTGTCATGTCTGAGGAAAGGTAACCAACGAGTTGCAAGCACTCAGCATCGAGTTCAATTCCACATCCAGAGCACACGGCCAATATGCACATCTGGTAAGGAAACAACAGGAAGACTGACAGTGGAAGACAAGGTGCTGTTCTGCCAGCACACACAGCAAAGGCTTTATGACTTTTCTGACTTTTTCCCACAAGTATTTGGCATTGGCAAGGCAGGATGCACATTATCTTGTTGCTTTGTAGCCATGTTGGATATCTTTGCACATCCTGCATGCAGAATTCATGGCAGCCACAAGAGGTCTACAGAGACAATCGGGTATTTGTCAAGGATTTCCTGTCATTCACCCTCTAGAAAATGGCAACGCCTGACTTGCCAATGCAAGAACAGCAAGAATACTGACATTGCCTAGATTTCATGCCACATACCTAATGAAATCAGGTCGGAAATTTGTCCTTGCATACACATAGCTTGCAAATGTTGGAATAAGATATCCATCAGAGACCGGTACTGACAACAAACAATCGTCACAAAGATATGCACAGCATTCAGGCAGCTTGCCTACCCAGCACTAAACATATCCAGCAGTCTGCTGCTGTACATATGTAATCTTCTTTGTACCAGCCAACACAGAGAGTGTGCCAAATTGGACAAAACAGGCAGAGTTGTGCACAGACCACCCACAAAGTCATAGACGTCACTGGCTTGACCGCTGGCATCACCGTAGGGTAGGTCGTCGTGCGCTACATAGTCGATCTTGTACTTCTCAATGAATTCAGGGGTGACAACCCAGGGAGCATCCTTCACAATCTGGTCCACCCACCTGGCACAAACAACAATTGACTGCTAGCTGCCGTGCAGACATGTTCATGATCTTTTAAAGGAATGGCATCAGAATGCACACCAGGGAGTGGGCAACAATGGGCATCAAGAGACATCAAAGATGCTTTTGACCATGAAAGTGCAGCAAAACCACCGAGTTGTGGTGACCGCTTGCAGTTGAACAGAGCAATTGTTGTTCACATACTCACAAAAACATGTTGAAGTTGAATCCAAAGGATATAATCTGTAACAAACTGCTTGAACTGAAGCAAGAGGCATGGGGGAGCCGATGCCAAGATAAACACAGCAGGCAACGAGTGCTCTCGCACAATCAAGGTGATCATGGACACCCTGGACATCCTAGCTCCTGCTCACTGATTGTTCATCATCATAGTGCTACGCTGCTCAGCACAATTTGTCGCTTGCCAACCATCAGCACACCACTGCACATGCACTCACAGTCATGGATGACTTTGCAATGATTCTGCCAATCCTGTGCCAAAACAATATGCTCTTCAGCTGTCTGAGATTCAGGGTAAGCTGGCTTCTGAAGAACATGCAAGTTTCAGCAAATGGACTCTGACTCAGCAAAGATACCACCAATAGACCAAGGCCACGGGTTGTGGGCTGGCATCACCTGCAGTGCCTCAAAGCCTCGTATCTTTCAGCATCTGTCATCACTGTCTTCCCCTTGTACTTGTGTGTCAATTTGTCACTGCAACATCCGACGATGAGGTGTGTATTCGGGAATCTGAACACCATGCAGCACATTCATTCGACTTGCAGATGTGCTAGGAACTGGATGTAGCTTGAGTTTGCAACCAAAAGACATCCCCACAATCTGCAGAGCAAAAACCATGAGATCTGTCCATCGAATCTGCGCCAACACAGCAAAAGACCGACTGCTGTCTTCCCTGATGCACGAAAATTGCTGACAGGGCGCTGACTGCTTTCTGTTGAAATCCATCTGTTCACGTCATCCATGTTTGACACAGTGTGGGAAACGATGACAAATCACAAGGCAAAACGTTGTGTTGGCAGTGCTACCTTGTGAAACATCAATGATGTAACAGTGGAGGAAGAGGCACAGTTCCCACCGCCTCTGCCTTCGCTCCAGTACAGCCCCTACCCCCCAAACATTAGAACGGTTGCTGACGTCCAATGGTTGATAAAGAGTGAAATTCCACTCTAGACCGTTCCAAACATCACTCCAAAAATATCTCCACGGAATCCCTTTCAGTCCGCTCCCAGGATGTATATGCATATCTGGCCCCTTCCTGTTACCGAATTCTGTCCCTGCCACTGAAGATCGCTGTTCCTTGTGCCCGACATCCATCAATGGTACAACAGATTCCCGGTCTGGCATGACCGCCCCAGTCGCGGGCACCTTGGAGGCCCTCGAAATATAGCTTTCGTCCACACGCCGCCGTGCACCACACAGAGGGCGCGATAGAACTCAATCACGCGCTGGGCCGACAGTAATTGACACGTGGGCACTTACAGCTTCTTCGCCTGCTCGAGGGCTCGGGCATGGCCGAAATGAAATAAGTCGAAGATGCCTGCGACAAAAATGCTCGCCACCCCTCAATGCCGCAGAAGGGCCCAACAATTGCGGCCCGCCGCGAGGGCCACGCCGCGAACACGGGTCGGGCACTGCATCCGGCATCCGCAACCAATCACCACGCCGCAGAATCTGCCATTGGCCAGGCCCCATCGCCTTCGCCTCTGCGGCACAATTTACGAGAAGGCTTCGACTTCGCACCCCCGCGCCGATGCGCGGAGCACGACAACCATCATCGCTCGAAGATCTTCCACCCCCCCGCCCCGAGAGCCCCCTCCCTCACCGTCGGCGTACACCCGCACTGGTCGACCGCTGAATCCAGCATCGTCTGCTCTGCTGCCGGCTTCATCCCCCGCGCCTGCATCAGCCGTGTCGCCCAGACAGGCCAGCGCCTCGCCATCATCGACTGCCGTCTGTTCCTCCCCGCCTTCCTTTTCTCCAATCGGCGACCCCGGTACTGTGGCTCCTTCGCCGGTGGTCTCGGCTGGAGCGCCCATGCCGCGCTCTGCCCCCACGCGGGTCTTGGCCCACCAAAGCGCCGCGATGGAGTTTGGACGTCCCCGCGCCTGGGGCTGGGGTTTGGTGACGCAAGCGCACGAACTGGTTTTGGTCGGGGTTCGTTGGGGACTGCAAGGGGGTGGGTGCCTCGCCGATTCGTACTGACGTTGCTTCTATGAATCGATTGATTTGGTCTTGTGAGATGCTGACGAAGGCAGGCAGGGTGGTGGGGGTGGCGACCCCTGAACAGGCACCGTAGGCTGGAGTCCAGGGCAACAGTTTACAGCCGAGCAAAGGAGTTCTGTCCCTTACATCCAGTCCGTTCATCAACGTCCTTAATCCAATCTTTAATGCCTCATCACTCCTTTATGCGTCCAGCTGTTAATAATACTCAATCAGTTCCAATAACAGCAGTGTACTCCACCCATCTTCATCAAGAATTCTTGCATGTGGAGGCGAGGAGGTACACATCAGCTTCACACTTCGCCCGAGCAGTGCCCATGATTTGTTCAATGAGAACCCGACCATTTTCAATCAGGCCCACTGCTTTGATTCGTTGCGCCGTCCCACTGCGTCTCCTTCCAGCGATCGAAACTCCTCCCTGGGCATAGAATTTAAGGAATATCTTGTCATTGAACACTACAAATCATAAATTGAACGAAATCAATTAGGCGCCAATTTCTCGCCCCAACCCTCCCCTGCGCTGACTCAGACACCTTCTCCCACAAAGCTCGTTTCCGCGACCCTCATTCCCATTCCCGCACCAACCCCCAAGTCGCCTCCTCCCCAGCGCACCCCCCACCCCCACCCACCCACCCACCCACCCCCACCCCTGCCACAGGACCCCCGTCCCGTGCCCCCTCCTGACCGCGCCCTCGGCCCTCTCTTGCGCCCTCTCCCCCCCACACACACCTCGCCTAGGGAGTGACATTACCCCCCGGCCGTCGGCGCCGGTATGTCGGCCTTTCGCGGCAACGTGTTCCGCGACTTCTTCGGCGAGGACCCCTTCGAGCAGATGGACAGCATGATGGAGTCCATGTTCAGGGACCCCTTCTTCGCGGGCTCCCACCGCAGACACCCGGGCTACCACGACCGCCAGGTACCCCCCCCCCCCGCCCCGTGGCTTGCCCTTTCTGCCGCTCTGTCCCCTGGCCCTCACATCCTCCCGGGGCGTTGCCCGGCCCGCCGGGCCGACGCGGCAATTTTATTTCTTGATTTCGGATGTCTAACTTCGCGATGATCGAGCCGGCCCGCATCACTGCGACCTTTGCGGCCGTCGCTCGCAATCGATCGAAAATTTCCGCTGCCCGTTTTGCTGCGGCGTCGGCGGTGGGTGGGGGAAAGATGTCATCGCAAAGCGACGAGACGGAATCCCTCCCTTTTCGCCAGTGCTCCAGGCGGTGTGGGAGGGAGCCCCGAGACACATAGTGGCGAACGCAAAGCGGCGCAGTTCGAATGGCGGACGTTCCCAGTGGGCGTGTTGAGGGGCATGGGGATGAAGGTTTGGCCCGCGGCGCGCAGGTGGACCGGCGCGGGGACGGGCGCCAGCGGGCGCGGGGGCCCGTGATCGAAGAGGTGGAGGACGAGGGCGTTGGAGCGGGGGAGTACCAGGAGGAGCCGATCATCGAGGAGCCGGGCGAAGGTGGGGGGGAGGGCGGAAACTGGGTCCATGGCTGAGGGTCCGGACGGCTGGGTGTGTGTGCTGATCTGGGGCAGGGGGGGGAGGGGGGGGTCCTGGTGATCGATCTGGCAGAGCTGCTGGTCGTCCTAGTCCACCCGCTGGCGTGCCTGGGAGTTGAGACTTGGTACGAAGAGAAAGAGGGCAGGTCATACAAAAGGCACCCATTCCTTAGCGAGCGTGTGCGAGCATGGGAGGGTGGGCTGGTTGACGTCTCGTGGCGGTGGGCTGGGAATATTCTGGACGTTGAGGACGCTGAGGTGGCCTCGATCCCGGTGGGTTTGAGATGAGGACCAGCAGATTGGGGTAAGGGCGGGGTGCCAGAATAGACACCATTGTACTGTAGGCTTGGACTGCAGAAAGCATGGGATACTCAGCGCTCGCTGGAGGGAGGGGGGAGGGGGGGGGGGGAAGGAGGGGGTAGTCTCGTGGCTGAGGTCAGCATTTGCTGATGTGTGCCCTTGGTTTGTTTGGCATGATGGCAGATGAGCAATACTGGAACAATCAGGACCACCAGCAGAGACGACACTCCGGGCGCCACCGGGAGCGGCGTCAGCCTCGTGGTGACAACAGCGCTGTGTCCAGTGGCTTTCGAATGGAGATGGGGCCCAACATGATCCCCTCACTGACTACATTCGGCAATGGGCCAAGCACCACATGCTTCAGCTACAGCAACACCTACTCAAGCGGCTTTGGACCCACTCAAGTGTATTCATCAACAACCACCTCAAGAATGGGCCCCGGTGGGGTGAGTATTGTTCAATGCAGGTATCCGTAGCTCCATGTGAAGTCATGGCCCCACAATCACATCAGAACATTGCTACTGTGGCCTCCGTGCTGGATGCGCTGCTGCTGTGTATTTGTTGTTGTCCCTGTCGAATGGTGCCTCCTCAGGGTGTTGTCACCGTGAGTATGCTGTCATCGCCTTTGCACACCAGCACGCTGACAGGCAGCTGCCCCTCCAGCTTTCCAGCTTTCAAATGCGAAAGGGGCGCTGGTGTGGGTGCTGTTCAGTTCCATTTGGCAGAACAGTACGACGTACTGTTCTGGCAGCTGCAAATCGATGGCAGACGTGATAGCCACCCTCAGTGTTTGTTTGATGGCCTCAGCCAGAGCACTGATGTCTGTGCCCTTGACCCTGCAGGTTCGTGAAACGCAGACGACAGTCCGGGATGGCATGGCAGGACAGGAGGAAATCTCCATCTCCAGGGGAATTGGGGAAAGGGTGGGTTCACCTTGGGATGCAACACCGCTACAATGGGAACTTTGGAAGAAGTCCCAATTTTGACCCATTGACTGCTAACAAGTCGTTCTCTTGTGGATCAATGCGCATGCTTTCTCTGTCGTGTCACGATGCCATTTGTGTTACCAGCACTGTTGGCAAGCTGGCGGCATCTGCCCCTATGCACTGTGTCGGCTGCTGCCACTCTCTGTTGCCCCTGCATTCCCTGCAAAATCCCACACAGGGTCTAATCTATGACAAGCACGTTTGGATCAAGGGTATTTAAGCTGTCTCCTCAGCTTTTGTACCCTGTGTAGGCTATGCTCACAGGGCATTCTCTGGAAGGCAAAGAATGTCACATTGTCTGTATCAATTGGGTGGGCCAGTCGATGGTTGCAAAATGGCCATGAACACATGCTCAAAAATGAGAAACCAGTTTTAGGAAAGTGATAGAAGTGTGCCTGGGCATCGGTGAGCAGTTTTGGCTTGTGGGCTGAAGTTTATGTTGTTTACCATAGAGTCGGTGCTACGAAGCCCTTGGCCTGAAAGGTGATAACAGGTGGAGCAGCATCCAGTTTGTGTTGGTTACTGTGTGCTTTACTGCATGGCTGCGACTGGCATGCAGGAAAGGATCATTACAAGAAGACGGGACGCTGCTGGACGTGAGGAGACCATCGACACACTACAGCACATGACCCCTGAGGAGGCTGCTGGATTCGACCAGGAGTGGATGCAACAGGCAGGGAGGAACCTGCCATCCTTCGGAGGCAGTGGCACTGGCATGGGTCGCATGTTGGAGCAGCCAAGGTCTCAATCAGGTAATGCACTTTGATGTTCCGTGGAATTGTGTTTCAGTGCTGTGAGGTGCAGGTGCAGGCCGAAGCTAGATAGACCCTTATGTCAGACAAATGCCGATATTCAGGACTAAGGGCCAGCTGGAAATGTAGGTAAGGTGCTAGTAAGTGGGGTTGTGCTGAATCGCTTGGCTCAAAATTGACATGGCCCTGCCCTGACATCCTTCAACACTTTAGCTGGAAGCTTGTCCACACTTCTGCTCCCGTTGGCCCTGTGGAAGTTTCAAGATGCGAAAATGCAAGGTCCTCATGCATGGTTGTGTGTCACTCCCACGCATGCTAAACAGGGCCCTATATAACCACCGATTGGTCGGAGCGGTGCTTTGAAAGGAAGTTTGTGCTGATAACCAGCAGCCTTGACAGTGTCTGAATTGAGACGGGCAGTCTGAGTGTCGTTTTGATGGGTGCACAATGTGCACTGCACATTCGTTAGTGGAGAGCGTTCTTCCCCTTTAGCGGCAAATGCGATGAAAACCGAAGTTTCAGGTGGTCTTGATGTCCAGCGTACATCTCTTGTTCCAGGCTTCTGCGTGACTGTGCCCACTGTTGCATGTTCTCCTCAGGTGGACGTCCCCAGATCGGGTACAGGGGCTACAGGAATCGCTACGCGTGACCCCTTGCGCGGACAGCCCCAGGTGTCAACCCTGCAGGCCACAGCGCAGCGATATGTGCGCAGGACTACCCCAAGTATTGCTGATTGAGGCAACAAACGGCAACTGGGGCAGGGCCTTGGATTCTACAATAGGGTCCTTGAACGGGGGGCTTCGTTAAGATAATAGGACTGTTATGTTGTCAAGTCCGGGCAGGGTGGGGTAAAAGATGGGTCAACCTCGGCGGAGCCTTTGTGGTCGCATTTGTAATAGCGCATTGGCATTGCCCCAAAGAGTGCTCAACACAGCAGGTGGGAAGTGTGCATGAGCGCCCTGTTCTAGAACCTCAGCCCTTCCGGCATTCAGCGCGGCCCGGAATTCGATGTGGCAGCCGGTGTGGCAGTGTGTTTGCGCACCAGATCACTGCACCTTCTTCGCCACACCTTGTCCACATTTTCCGAAGCCACAATGCGGCTTTCTCGAGCAAAGTCGAACCTGTGAGTGCGAGACGCTCCAAACAAAGTCCACCGCAAAGGCTGGGGGCTGTGAACACAACAGTTCACGCGCAGTTCAATGGCAAACGAATGGCAAAGATTGCCCCATTCCTTCATCCTCCCGTCCAGTATTTTAGGAGACTCCTGGCAAAGTGCAGTAGGCGAGTTGAACCTAGTAGGGTCCAGTGCAATTCCGTAGCGGGCTTGTTGCTTGTGCGCTAGCAGGTTTCCGTTCACTTGTATTCCACTTGTACACAAATTTGTGCTCATTATGTGGAGATGGCCTAACGTGTCCTGGCCTTCGAATCAAGCGCATGTGCCTCCACCGATAAATTTCGCACACGCGCGAAAAATGTTCCGAAAAACATGGTTGAGACTGTACCACTTACTGCCATGGTACTACCAAACGGTAGTAGCGCAGGTGATCACCCTTTTACGCCGGAGTGTGCTCGTTGCCACCACTGAGTGGCACCACACGCATTAACGCGTGGTGCCAAACTCTTCCGCACTTTTCGGCAAACTTGCGTGGCTGAACGGGGACTTACGTGGCATGAATTGGGCAACATACTCGGATCATATCAGATTCGCTTCATAGAATTCTTTTCCTTTCAGAACAGTTTTTTTGCCTCTGATTGCCTGGTGTCGGTTTCTTCTTTTCGCCAGCATTGCGAGGCCGCTGTGGACAGCTGACATGTGACATTGTCCGATCCTCTGAGATCAGCAGAGACACCTGCCATAACCGGACCGTCGTTTTGCCTGTGGGGATGTGCTTATTCCCTCGATCGCTTTATTAGGCCCTCTTCTGTACCTGACGCAAACTGGTGAGTTCCCGAGGAGACGTGTCGAGAGGGGTAAATCCCCTAAGCGATCACCTGAGGGAATCTCCTGAGGGAATATTACCCCGAGGGATCGCCTAATGGTCGTGCAGGGCATCCCTTAGTGACCGAGCTGTCCCCCGAGGAACAGGCGTCGTGTCATTTTGTCACCCCGATGCCCCTTGAAAGTGCAGGGCGCCTGGTTTAGGGAAGACGCTATGTCGATTTTGGTACGTTTAGCGCCAATTGGACACTAAGCCCAGACACCCACCCCCCAACCCCAACCCCTTGGCGTCAATCCTTATGTCGACGCCAGGATGACTCAGCAACATAACGTAACGGCGTTAGACAATAGCAAGGTGCTTTCAAGGAATATAAACAACCGAAATTGCAAGGGTTATGCTGGGCTGGAAAACGGGACGGTAAAGGCCACTGCAGTTGATTGGGGCTTCCTTGGTGGCTGCATGTTGAGGTCCTCTGGGGCCTTCAGTCAAGATTGAATGCTTCAATGAGGCTCTGGAACAAGTCGGGATCTGTCTGGCGCTGATCAGCAGCGTTTTTGCGTGTCTTACCACCTTATGTCGATTTTGTGTCAACTACATAATCTCTTAGCGCCACAGATCCGCCCCGCCGCCGCCCCCTCTCCTGATGAAGTGAGACAGTGCTGAAAAGCCACACACGCAGGGAGGCTCTCGAAGTTAGTGCATAGCAATCTTTGACAGCGCATGACGACGGGTGCAGAGCGCCACCATGGCTGCTTTTCGAAACAGCCACCGCCGCCTCCGCAGCCCCCTTTTGCACATGCCATTCACGCACACCAGACCGCGACCCCCTACATCCGATCTGGTGTCAGTCATTCCCGCTTCATTGCACCTTTCCCCTGCGGCGTCCTGTCACAGGACTCCTGTGACAGAAACCGTTTTCATGACAGCACAGCGAGGGTTGACTGACGACTCACGAAAGCCACCACAGTCCCGGCGCTGACCAGCAGCGCAACCGACAGCGGTCCGCGCAGGCCCGCAGCAGAGCTTCGACGTTCAAACGCCTTACCGGGCCGGTGCCGCTCTCTACGACGGGTTCAGTGCTGACGCCAAGCTCTGTCTGTTTTCCTCCTCGGAGGGCCGAAAGGCACCAGGAGGAGAAAGGGGACCAGGCGGCGTCCGTGGCCACTCCTGTTTCCCGATTGGCGACTTGGGAAGCTACTGACTTCGCCGGGGCCCAACCGACCGGTCTTTTGACCTCAGGCGCGTCTAGCCGCCGGGAGGGAACATATGTGCGGTCTGCCCGATACGTTGGGATTTGTCGCGCCCTTTGTGTAACGGTGGGCAAGGAGAGCTGGCAGTGCTCCGGAGGGGGCTGGGTCGCAAGGTTGAGCAGGGCAAGTTGAGGCGCAACAGTGTGTCTGACCGGTCACCGGGCAATACCTAGGCGTCGGCGCCTTCTGGGTGGGCATTTGAACTTGCCGTGCGCAGGCAGAACGCGTTCACTGCAGCCTTGTGAGCACAAGTCAATGGTGGCTGAATCAGAGCGTTCGAGCAACGGCCTCAGCAGTGTTTCTGCAACAGAAACGGTGCCAGTAGCCAATGGTGCACATCAGTTCAGCTTGTCTGAGTGGCGTTGGTGCCGTTTATCATTCACATAGATGGGTGGACGTCACTTTGGTTGCGCTGCAGTGTGGCCAAAGGCCATAAAAATGTGTTCATACTATGTTTGGGTGGAACAACAGTATGCCATTTCATTCCCATAGGTACATCGGCGTGAGACTCCAATTGGAGTTTCACGCCGTTGCAACGGATTTTTTCAGTGCAATTCATCGAAACACCATGATACAGTATTCAAGGAAACTATTTCAAAAATGCGCAAATTTTGCGTTTGACGTTTAGGTGATCAAATCAGAAAGAGACACTTACTGCTGGCAATGTGCCCAGGCAGGCTGGAACCTAATGGGAAACAATGGCCGCACTTTTCCTGCATAGCTTCAGCTCCACCACTGTTGCCGTGCAACCGGATCTTTGCAGAAACATTTCTGAAATGGAGGTACGTTTATGTTGCTCCAGATTTTGAAATTCAATTTCAAATGCAAACGCATCCAGGCGTCCGACAGGCCGACCAGAGCCGCAGATTGACATTGGTATTTTCGATGACTGCATGGTTAGGTATATTTTCCCATCCTCCCATCAACCCTCGTGCACTTTACAGAATTGAATTCCGCATGAATCTTGTTTCAGGTGTGCCGCCTGGCGAGCCTTTAATCGTGACTTCCCCAGACTCCATCCATGGTGCCCGGGGACGGATCGGGAAACGATGGAGGCACCCCCGACCTGTACAAGAGATCTTCCTTCTGGGGTGCAATCCCCCCTTCGACGCTGGAGCCCCAAAGCCCACCGAAGGAGGAGGCCCAAGCTCCTGCGGATTCCCACAAAAGGTCGTCATTCTGGGGAACGTCCGACGTTTCGAACGACGCGAAAGCAGTCTCGGATGTCGGAAAGGTGTTGGATGGCCAACCAGGCGTACAGGCTGTGAGCGTGCCCCGCGTGAGGATCCCGCCCCTTCAAATGGTGTCAGACGACAAGAGGGCTAGCGAAGAGGGGCACAACGAGGCTCCTCTCCTTCAGGCCGCAAGGCGAGAGGGCAGCAAGTCGTCCAGCAGAAAGGGGGAATCGAAGAGGTCGGAAGAGAAGAGATCATCGAAGGGAGACAGGAGCAGATCGTCTAAGAGGAAGAAGAGAAGCGCAAAGCCTGATGGTGCGTTCCTGGTTGCGGGGCATGCGTTGTTGATTCATTGGCTTCGAAGCCGGGTAATTGGCAGTTTTGCCTAAGTTCGGCAAGAGATTCATCCATCCGGTGTTCAATGAGTTATGACTTCTCTAAAGAGTCATGTGAGAATGCGCCACGCAATATGATGAGGTGCTGAATCCAGCACCAAATTTTCCCATAAGTTTCGAAGAACCTCCATGGCCAAATCATCTGCCCTGCGCTCGCATTATAGTTGCAAAATCTAAAGATAAATTCAAATTGCTGTGGCCTTTGCCGGTCATAGTCGTGCAACAAGACCTGCGTATTATCGTATATTTCCCCATAAATATTTTGTAATTGACGGCCCCCAATCCTTGTCCAGTTTCTTGAAGCTTGTGCCCAACGCGCTGGCCGTACCAACAACATTGCCTTCTGTGAAGCGGAGTGCGCTACACTGCGAGTGACGCACTGAGTTTGCGAGTCTCGCAAACTTTCAACGCAGCTGCTGACCTTGGAGATTTCACAGGATTTGGTATTGAATTGTCATGCGTCACTCTGGTTCATTGAGCTTGCAAGCACCCTTGTTGCACTTGCCCCCAGCAGCCGCGCGCTGAGCGGGGAGTGAGAAACGCGTTACGAATTGCTCAAGAACCGCCTACAATGGACATTATTCAGATGCAGGATCGGGAAGGCAGAGGGGCTACAAGATGTCGGACGACTGCCAATCAAGGACGCAATCCGAAGACGTGGTGATAGACGTGTCTAATGGCGTCTCGACGAGCCGAGAGAGGAAGGGCGAGGAAGGGGAACCGGTGGGGAGAACGAAAAGCATACTGAAGAAACCGAGATCCAGCAGCTTCATGTTCAGCGGAGCGGAATTCCGAAGGCCGTCACTGAGCTTAGCCAAAGTGGAATTCCAACGCCGGCCGACCATCGTGTGCGAGACCAACATCCCCCTGCACCTGCTGCTGAAGTTCTGCATACAGACGGCGTACGACGCCTCTCCCTGGTGGATCGCCGACGACGCGTCTGTGACCATCCCCAGGTTCCCCCTGCCGCTGAGCAACCTCTCAAAGGGCCCCCTCCAGCAGAAGATCGGCGCCCTGACTCTCAACCGCTACGCCTTCTCCCTCCTGTTCTTCCTGCTCCCCATCTTGCTCCCCCTGGCCGTCCTCCTCGTGCCGTTGAAACCCCACTACGAGGGCACGGTCATCGACCACCTCGGCTTCTCTCTGGTCACGATGGGCATAACTGGAGCCATCATGGGTGCCAACACCCTCTTCTGGATGGAAAATTTCTTCGGCGAGCTGTTCCCCTGGCGCTGGACCCTCATGGCGGCCATGGGCCCGGCCACGGCCGCCTTTCACTTCGCGGCCTCCCTCCCGGGGGGCGGCGTCCTCCCTTACGGGGTGGACGTTTCCATGCTGTTCGTCGTGGCGGCGGTGGGCGTCTGGGGTTGCATTGTGGCGCCGCCAGCCGTCAGGCGCAGGATGGACTGGTGCAGCCACCTGTGGGTGGGCATGGGCATACTGGTCTTCAGCATGCTCGTCACACACCTGCTTCTCCTCATCGAGTCCGCCAACGCGCGTGGAGCCCACGTGGCGTACGTCCTCATCATGATCCTGCCGGTTCTTTTCACCCGCCTGACGACGGACATCCAGGTTTGGTTTCCCTCGCTGGTTCTTTCACAGTAGTCGTCGGCGACGACTACTAGAAGAGCTTTCTCTTTCTTCATCGTTGACCCTTTGTTTGTTCTTCTGGGACAATTCCATGGCTTCTTTTTCCTCAATCCAACGCAACACATTTCCGATTGGGCGCCCCGCTGTTACGCTCGTTTACAACAAGAAACGCGAAAATCGTGCAGCTCCTTCGTTGAATACGTCCCGTGGGAGCCAATGACTGGAAGGCTGAACGATCGATTGATGGATTAGTGATGGGCGGATCGACTGACCGACTGCTTGATTGATTGACTGACGTGCAGGAAGCCGTGCCCTACACGACTCAGGAATTCGCCATGCAGTGCCAAGGCATCCTTACGTTCGTCTTCTCCCTGGCCACCTACTGCCTCCTCATCTTCCTCTCCAAGGTCGTTCCGCTGTGGCAGCTGTACCTCATCTTCGAGACCGTCGACGTGCTGTCCACCCTGTTCGTCGGGCCCGTGTGGGAGCTGTGGTGGAAGGTGGGCTACCTGAAAACCAACAAGTTCCAGCAGTCCATCTTCGGGTGGGCGCAGAACCCCATGAAGCCGAAGGCCGTGGTCATGAAGTACTACACCAAGGCGATCGCGGCCGTGGCCTTCCCGGTCATTCTCAGCGTGCTGGCGGAATCTGACAACCAGCAGGTGTTCAAAATGACTTCCAGCGACATGCTGGACGCAGGCAAGATGGCGGAGATTGGGGCCTGCATGGTGGGCGAGGTGGTGCTTTCGATTTCGTGGCTGGTCTTCCTGTACATCATCATGAAGACGCGGTGCTGCCAGGAGGATTTCAACGATTTGGTCATTCAGTTCTCGAAGATGTTCTCCGTGGTGCAGCTCGAGGGCGTGCTGGCCACCCTGCTGGTGTTCTTGATCAAAGCCAAGCCTGGGAACAGCGAGTTTCTAGACTGACCGAATGCTGTAGCACCACCACGGCGCCAGTGGAACAGCCCAGCGATTGGCAATCCGTCGCAGGCATCGGTGGACGCTGAGGCCCGGGCTGCACCGGCACATGACCAGAATTTACTTTAGTGGCTGCTGGGATTGAGCCGCGAGCAATGATTGGTGTCGCCTTGGGAAGCCCCGGGGGAATTGAGGACAAGGGGGGAACTTGCGCCGAGAAGCAATGGGCGTGTGCCGGCCAACGGAAGACCGGCTGCTTCCAAGCGTGCCGCCGCTGCACCTTTGTGACCTTCCCCTCGCCCGTGACGAGTGCTACGACGTTGCTCAGTTTTGCAGAAAACGGGAGCATCATGTGTGCTGCTGGAAGGGCCGCAACCGCCTGTAAAGTGAGCCGGGTGGGGATGGACGCGGCTGTCGATCCGTCTTTTCCCTGCGTTCGATTGCTAATGGTGTCATGATAAACCGACTGGCCAGGTGGTCGGCGATTCTGGTGGCGAGCGTTGAACACATCAGGGTGTCAGAACTGCGTCAAGGTCTCGAATTTGGACGTGTGGAGGAATGGTCTGCGTTAGAAAGTGCCAGCACAATATGCGCACACGGACTGTCAACGATGAACGGAAGGGGAAATGTACTTTTGAGAATGCGGGGGCCCTAAACTCAGCCAGCAGATGGCACTGGACTCCAGAAAATCGCAGCAAAGGGCGTCTCCATAGGATCCTTTCGCATCTAACGAAACGGGGTGTGACGGAGTTCAGGTAATGGCGTCTAATAACGTCGGTTATCGACGCGCAAGCAAGTCATCAAACAGATCGATCGTGCCGTTACCCAACGCCACTGCCTCCTGGCAGCACAGGGGCCGGTCTCTGCCTGGTGCTGTGCCATGGTTGCTTCAACCCTGCCGTCACTGCCACAACAAAGTGACAGCGCCGGCAGAGCCCAAAATGTTTCCTGGTGGCTGCCAACCATTACTATGTGGCAATACGCACACAGAGTTCACGTGTCCGCCGTTGTGGCAAGCGGGTTCAGGAGCAGCACAACTGTCCGCAGCTCATCACCCACCGACACACGTGCAGTCCAATCCGCCCTAGTAGGGTGTTAACAAGGCAGACTGCATTACACTATGTAGTTTGTCAATGCCATCACTCCAGTCGGTGTAGAACATTTGGCAGAGCGTCTGTGTACGGCATCCTGGAAATCGACAAAAAGGCACACATACGCACACCTTGCTCTGCGCTTGACAGGATGCGGTGCCTTCAGTCTCCAATACACATTTTGACAAAAACACACACAAACACCCATACAATGCCCATTTCCAACTCTACTGATCGCTGCTATACACAGACCACAAATGTTCACGACCGCATGACCTGCCCGCTCACTCCATTTCCCAGCGATCATTCATCCCTGGAGAGGTTTTGGCCGGCGGCGCCTCTGTCTGAGATGGCTCCGTGCCAGAGGGACCTCCCTTTCCATTGTGCATTGCCCAGGCTGGCGAAGGTGAAGAATGAGAGCGTGACCTGGCTGCTGGAGATTGCACTTTGGCAGGCCGCGAGCGTCCCTTTGGCACAGATGTGTGATGCGATGGGGACCGTGAGTATCTGCTGCGGTGGTGTCCACGAGACCTTGAACGGCCACGCCTTCTTGAACGGCTCTGCCGCCTTATGGCGCCTCTTCTGGCCTCGCTCTCGTAAGGGGTGGACCTGACCAAATTTGCACAACAGATTCTTCACAAATCCTTGTAAGGAAAATCCAGTCGTGCAGCAGCATTTTGTGCATCAAATGCACACCGACTTTTGGCACGGAACACATGTAAAAGTGTGTAGACTTGGCACAGGGATATCTCAGTCACACTGGTCCACTTTGTCGAAACCCCAGCAAAGAGTGCCTAAAGACAACTAAAACAACACAGGGTAAAGCTACAATCTGAAAACCTCATTCAAGACTGATGCTGTACCCCGCTGGATGCAATGAAACAAACATTCGTTGAAATGTCCAAGGACAACATGACGGTATTGTCGTGGACTGGAGCCCATAGCATGAGCACAAGGATCGAGCATAGAAAAAGCGGTTGCCTATGCTGCTCCTAGTCCTGTGCTCCCCTCTCCCAAACCAACCATTCAAATCCATCCAAGGATATCGGGATCTCCTATTTCCTATTCCTGTTGCACCTCGCTACTGCGTTGCCTGTCTGGCTACTCAACTTGCGTGGCCAGATGGCTGGTGTCCAAGAGAATGAACAAATCAATGTGGCAGCTGCACTAATTTTTGATCACAACTCGGAACACACAGCAATGCGCTGGTTGGGGCAAGGCCATCGTACCACTTAGCAGTTGTGTTACTGGTTCCATGGAAGTGCTTACTCAAGGATTGTGATAATAACCAAACCTGGAAACATTGATTGACTGACTTGATGAAGAGAGACGATCGTTGTAAATATATGAATGCCATGCCTGCATGTCCAGGGATCATTTTCAAGACAAACAACAAAAAGTTATCGAACTGGTCACAGGCTGGCAACGATGAGACCAGAACAGCAGTGCACTTGGGTCTTCATAACAGAATACAATCGACCAGAGCTATTGAACTAAACACCACTGGCGCTGTTCAGAAGGACTGCAGAAGAGAATTTGCATGGTTGCTGCCAGGCCAGGACCCACTGTCAGACACCATTTGGCCAAAAAACAAAACACTGGAAAACAGAAGGAAACTAATAGAAAGACACTAGGAGTGACAAGGAGTTGAGCAAACAGAGGCCACACAAGCATCTGCAATGCACCTGATCAGCCACGTCTGCCCTGCATGCTCGATGTCAACGATTCCTTCTCGCCCGAATGCCACGCACATCGTTGAAAATGATGGGAACCCTCTCTTCTGGACATGGAAAGTTTTGTCCCTTGTTCGCATGAGATCGTTCAAGATGCTGATGTTGCAAGGGAGCCGCCGTTTTCTAACCAGGTCTTTGAGAGCTGTCACAAACAGACCACGTGTGGCACTGTCTGGTTTGGCCCGGTCTGCATACCGGCGGCGGCTTGGAGATCGGTACCTGAGTGACACAGGGCCTTCACCATGTGCACAGTTTCAGTTCATCCCTTCCCATCCCATCCCCAGCCGTTAATCAGACGTGAGTCAGAAGACGGTAAATACAAGCTGGTTTGCAAGCTTGCCAAATTGGGCAGGTGATGCACATGTATGCCACACTGTGTGTCACATTATCCCCACCCAGGAATCATACACTACTGTATGACACATCCCGCAAGCAAATGAGAGAACTGGAGTGGTACAGATAGCACAACTACGAATAACAGGGCTGCAGTGGCCATCTGATCGCACATGGCATGCATTTCTCTCCTGAGATGGAATTCAGAAAACAGCAAGTGTTGATATTCTCAGAAGATTTCCCATATAGGAAATCATGCTATGCATCTACACACCTGCGGTCCCGTGCATTATAATCATCCCTGTGGCTGTCACGGCGCGATCTGAAGGCTGACCTACTCCGCGATCTGCGGCGGGATCTTCGGCGTCCCCTGTAGGCAGGTGACAAGGATCTAGACCTCGAACGAGCAATTGATCTGGAGCGGCGCCTACGACGTGGGGGTGATCTTGACAGTGACGAGACACTGCTTGCAGACCTTGAGCTCGACCTTGAATCTCCACTGCAATGTGATCGCGAACTGGATCTCGTTCTCTGGGTCGACCTTGATTTTGACCTTGTCTTTGTGGAGCTCTTCCCTGACGCCGATTTCGAACCAGATCTGGATGTACGCCCAGATGCGCGGGAGTGCGAACGCATAACAGACACTGAGTGTGATAAAGATGCCCGATCGTCAGATTCCGAACCAGAAGGGTCTCGTTGTGAGGGACATGGAGAATCATCCACACAAGCTGACCCCGGCAAGCCTGAACCCGCATTGACCGCACCAAGGCTTTCAGATTCGACACCGCGTACTCCCCGATCATTGGTAACATCAGCAAGGGCACTTGCGGGCACGTCAGCCTCTGTGCTCCTGTCCCCTTTCATGAGATCTGCACCACTTTGCCCAGCAACGACACAAGTGGCATCCTTTGCACCTCCCCCGGCACTGTCACAAGCCTCCAACGCCTTTGACCCATTGCTCACACCGTTCCTTGCTTCCGATGAAGATTTCGCTACATGGTCTGAATTCTTGCCATTGGCTTGTCCACCAGTTTCCTTATCATCGACTGTTTTTACATCCTCATCTCTTACATCGGCAGGATCTCTGCCCCTGTCACCACCCTTCTTATCGCCTCCTACCTTCCGTCGCTTTGCTCGGTCTTTCAGACCAGATCCGACATCTTCCCGCTCGCTGTTTGACACAGAACAAGAACCAGAATGAGGTGCAGATCGGCTTGCGCTGCTCGCCCTCTTTGGGCTAGACTTTTGATGGCGATGGCCTTCATGTCGCTGACCCCGTGACCTAGGAACAGCAATTTACACAAAAAAATTGAACAAAGGACCTTTAAGAGTCCACAACTGTACAAAGTGCTGCCCCAAGCTGTCAATGCTCTGAGGAAAGGCATAACACTTTGTGGCTTGAACTATTCACCACCTCTTCCTTGGATTGTTGTTTCTTCTAGTTCCCTTCACCATTACGCTGTTTGTAACTTTCATCAAAGAAATTTCACAGGTACAGTAGGAGTCCCTATATAGCCCCCCCCCCCTCGGTGACATGGCCAAAAGGGGGGCGCTATTCGGGGCCGGGGGCGCTATTGTCTTAAGAGGATACCCTGAGCAACCTGTGTAAAGGGTACCCTGGCCGCCAGTGTAGGGAGTACCCTAACTGCCAGTGTACGGGGTACGTTGGGCCAGCGACTGCCGCGGCGCCAAAGTCGCGGGCGCTGGGGCCTGTCGCAGTGAAACAAAGCACTACGGGAATGGTGACGAGCCATAAAGGGAGTCGCTAAACTGACAGGTCGCTAAATAGGGGTCGCTAAACTGGACACCTGTACTAGCTTGAGGTCCCACTGCGCAACAAAGCTGCATAAAGTACTACATAAATGGCAACATGCCAAAAAAGGGGGCGCTATTGGGGGGGTGCTATATAGGGACCCCTACTGTACTGAGTCTACAATTATAGCCTTCCAGACACAGTATTGACAAGAATGACCGTCACAACCAAATTTTTACCCTTGCACTGGTAAACTTTCTCTCCATTCCCATTCCAAGCTTGACTTCTAATTGCCCCCTGAACAATGTTCCTTGGCATTGGCCTCAGACACTTGCACTTTGACAAGTGTCAATCAGATTAGGCTGGGCCGCACAGGCATAGTCGTTCAAAGCTTTCCCTTTCCACAATTCTCACACCTCCCCATCTGCTCATCCCACTCCCAAGCTGCCAAACCCCTCCTTCAAATAGCCATCACCTTGATAGTGATCGCGCATCCCCCCTCCTCCTCCTTGTGCTCTGAGGGCGCAGAGGAGAGCTGTGTCGATGGCCATGAGACTTCCTCCGCCTTGCGCCATGCACCCAAACAAACCCACATAAGATTCTTAGGTCATCAATTCCATTAGAAACTGTGCAGCGCCTGCCATGAGTGTTCAGGGAACTGCACCAACCCCGCAGAATCGAAGTATAGCAATTTCCCTGAAGCAGAGGTCCTGAAAAGCACATAGCAAAGACTAGCCCGCAGGACCCATACTGTGCACGATGTGTTCCGAAAATATCACCACACATTTTTCGCTCCAAGTAGTCTCAAACCCCCTATTCAAACCGAGTGGCACCTTGAGTATGGTGAGCGACTGCGACTTCTGATACGGCTCTCACTCTTCTTCTGCAACAATAACACATCTCTTTACTGTCAGAAATCTCTGATGCTTACAGGATATTGCCTTACCCCAAAATCCCCACCTATCCTCAATACCATACACCATTCTGTTCGTTTCAGCGATTTTCCATAGCATCCTTCATATTACACAAAAGTTTCACAGAGATATTGTTCGCAAGGGGTGCTCAGTGCTTGGCATGCCTGGAATAACAGTCAACACTGCATCGCAGCTCTTGATTTGTGCTTACATGTTGTGTCATGAGCCTTGCCTAGATGAGCAGAATGTGCCAAATAATGGAACCCAGTCAGCGATATGTAACCCAGATGCAAGTTCAGCTGTGAACTACATTTGGACGATCCCCTTGCAAAAAAAATAACCTTTATCCAACCACTGCTTACTCAGTGGACCCAGACCTTGGTTGCGCCTTTTCATGACTGCAGCAGCACACTGCGCATGGCACATAACAGAATTCCAGCGATGCCACTTTGAGGAAGCCACGCACCTCTGATGACATTTTGGCTGCTCTTCTGGCTTTGTCCACTGCTGCCAGGACTTCCTTCCCTGCGATTTTCTGCCTCCGATCTGAGGCCTCCCTAGCTTGCCTAGCTAGCCCGAGTTCCTTCTTTGCGAGTTGATAAGCCTCACTCTTCTTGGTGACAGTCGTCTGCACAACCACACACAACACGTAAGACTGGTGTCCATTGGAATAAACAATCAAGACCTTGAGCTCCACCAAGCACTTAACGAGAACTGGTTCAATTGTGTTGTGCATTACCAAATCTGTGTTTGCCGTATCCGTCCAACAGGCAACGAGCACTTATCCTTCAATTTTCAGGTGATGATAAGATATTATCGATACTATGTTGCCACAATAATCCTGCGGAACAGCCATGTGTGGTGGCCATACCATGCGATTCAGAACTGTGGCCATGCATCGCAACCCACGGGACAATCGAAACTTACACTGATGTCAGTCAGGGTTTTCTCCAGTGCCCCCAGCTCTGATTCCCTGGCTGCTGCCCTCTCAGCAAAATGGCGACTAAAGAGGATCGCAGTCATCATGAGAGACCTGCAGTCCACCAGCCGAGCCTCGACCTCCGCAGCCTGTGCATGTGCGGAATCGAGGGCCGCAAACGCTGCCATCGCCGCCTTGGAAGCAGATGCTTCCAGCTCTAGGGCTTGCTATTCGCACGCAATCGAACAGGTTTCAGAATCCCAGTTTGTGGCCTGCTTGCTGTCTATTCCTACATCTCAAGGCATTTTTATTCAGAGACAATCAATGGGTTCTGAAATCCCTCTTCCTGGCTCGCAGATCGTCGAAGATCCTGACCCATGCACAGAGCATTCTGCCGTTGCGCAAGACCCCTTGAGGATTGACAGACAAATATCATGTCCACCTCCCCAGGGAACTGGAGGTGAGCAGCACTCTCGCCGGATGTACCTCGGGGCGCCCCATCTTCAATGCAGCAGCAGCCGAAGGCCAATTAGGGTGGGCATGCACAGGATGCAAATCCTGGACGCAGAAAATGAGGGAGGGCGGTGTGCCTACTCCCAACGCAGCCCACCAGTTCGGCAGGCACGCCGTCGCGCAGGAAGCCGATCAGATTCTCGCGGCTCGCGACAGCTTGCGCCGCGGCGCGCGCCCGTGCCGCAGTCGCCCACTCCAGACCGGGAGGTCGCCCACGCGTGGCGCGACAAAGATGGCCGCAACCCGCCGAGCGTCCCCGTCTCGCCCTCCCGCAAGCGGATCACAAACCGCGAATGAGCAGCCCCACCGGGCACCAATCCCTCTCGAGCTGCCCCAACTGTCGGCCGCTCACCCGGCAGGCCGCCCTCGGCGGCCACCCCGTCCCAAATGCACGCGCGCACGGCGAGCGAAAACCGCCCAGCGCCCCGTCCCACGGCGCACATCCAATTCGCACAACTCTCGGCACCGAACGCGCGACAAATCGCGATCTGTCTGCGGCCCAGCGTCCGCATTTTTGCGGCCGGGTCGTCGACGGGCCGCATCCGCACCCGCAGCTCGCGCTTGGCATCCTCGTCCGTCTTCGACGTCCGCGCCACCTCCTCCGCCAGCGCCTTGGGCGGCAGGAAGGATGGCGCCATGCCGGCGCCGCTGTGCCGCGGCGGGGCGGGGGCGCCTGGCGGCTGACCGCGGCTCGCCCGGCGAAACCCAGAAATCGAGCGCTGGGTCGTCGCAGCGGGATTGAGCGCGGTGTGGTGTGCCGGGGAGCGAGCGGGAGAGCTTTCGGAGTGGTCCCGTAGGTTTTTTATTGGGGGAAGGGGGAAGGGGAATACTCAACCTTCCGCATAGGAACGTGACGTTTGGCCTTTTTCGCTGAGCACCAATTAAACGTAACAGCACCAAGGAAGTGTAGAACAGCCCCAATTGCAACGCGAGGGCCTCTGGACAGCTCGTGGCGTCTAGCAGGCCCACTTGCATGAGTCGCTGTGGCGGAAAATGGGCTCTTGAGGCCATTTGCGCTCATAGAGTCGCCATTTCGGCTGTGACCATGATGCTTAGCCCCCGAAATAACGGCTTGTTTAAAAAAATGTGGAGCAAAAATAGTAACGGTCAAATTTTCCGATGCGGAAGGGTTGAATATTTCGTGGTGCGCCCAGCAGAGTTTGATTACCCACCACGGGGGTTTTGTACCAATACATGTACTGGTGGTTTGTTGTGTCTGTATTTTTGACATGCTACTGCACTGGCACATGTATGTGTGTGTGCGCTTGACAATTCGCACCGGTGCTTTTGTGTGTGGGAGCAGAGATCCAGCCTCCAACGGCGGAAATTCCCCTGCAGAAGTCCCAATCCCTCCGCAACACAAGTGCGCGTGCGCACACCCACCTTCAAGCTGAGTTATCACAGACACCACGACTTGCAACAAACCATTCTGGTCCAATTCCCACGCATTTCGTCAGTCCCTGGGAGCAGAATTCAGAGCAGAGATGGCTGTCAGTCGTGGAATTCAATAGAAGGGCCCAATCCCGGTTGTGATCCCAAAACACTCGCACAACTCGCCATATTCCTGTGGCGGGACTTGAAACGCATTTCTCACCAGAACCAGTCTCTCCAGTGCACCGCGTGTGTGCGCGTGGGCAGGAGGAAACCTGTCAGGCTGCTCAAGATTCAAAACTTCGAAACTTCCACGGGAACTGAACTCGTGTTTGGAAATAACATGTGCTCTTTTTGTTTCCACTGCAGCTATTCCAAGTGATTGTTGAGAAGAGCAAGAAACTGCGAATTGTTCGAATAATTATATTTTTAAGAGATAAGTAAATAAACAAACAACACGAGGAAATAATCAAGCACGTTAAGGAAAATAGACAAATAAGAATCCATTTACAGATTTGTGCAATTACATGTAATATCGGTGTGGAAATTGCCCATGCCACGCTCTTTTGTATCAGGATTGTCCCTGGTGTCCGAACTGGTTGCCTCTTGGTTAACCTCTTTTATACACTGCGTTCGACAGTGGCAGACTAGAAAGGAAACAACGCTAGCGGGTATGTTGCTGCTATATGTCGCAGTATTCTCTGGTGGGCGGTATTGCTCATTCTCAGGCCATATCCGCATAAGCCGGTCCTCTGCAGCTTGGTGATCTTTGCACATGGTTGCATACTCTAGAATTCAGCAACTGCCGGCAAGCGGTGGTGTAGTTGCTTTGGGTAATGAATTGAACTGTCACCATCACCCGTCGTTAAATTCGCCACACTTTCTTCGACGCCGAGCAGCAACGCGTGTTGGCCAGCAGCACCATCGCGAAAGAAAGATATCGCTTCGTAGCCGCTGGTGACGGCGGGGTCTATTTCAAATGTAAGCATATAAATGAGTAAATAAGTTACAGCTCTGACTAATCCGAACTGAATGGCAATGGATCGTCATTATGAATGCTGCTGAACAGATGAATCCAGGATCCCGCAGTTTCCAACTTTCAATGCTAATGTGTAAAAGCCACACATTTCACGCAGGACTCCCGTGGACTGCTCGCGTCCCAAGAACGGTGGGTTGGCCGATCATCGACCGACCACTATTCGACCGATTGACGTGCCCATCGATTCACTCATTCAATCATGATGGATCGAATAATAAACCGATTGAGCAAAATCCACGCTTGCGGCTTCCCTCCACATTCGCGCGACGCCAGAATGTGTGCACCCCACATGCGCACAACAGCCGTGCGCCAGGCGACGATCCAGCCACCCCCCTCCCATCGCCGATGTGACAGCCCAAGCTCACCGCCCTTCCACACGAGCAGGTCGCGCAAGTTGGCCCTCCCCAGAACGCACAGCCAGGGCCCAAGCTCCGGCCTTCGCGGGTGTTCTGCGCTCGGCGGTTGGAGGCAGCGGCGATTTGGCTGGGCGTCCCGTGGGCGGCCGTCAGGTGCGCTGCGGTGTGGCTGGGACGCTCCCCGATCGGGTGCCGCCGATGTGGGCGAAGGTGGCTAGTAATGGAACCGGGAAACGGCGGCGCGGAGAGGCCGGCTGGTGGTGAAACTGCGCCGGCGGCCTTTGGCGCGTGCCGTTGGGCGCGGGTGGTCGATTTCGGTCCGCAGGGGCCGCGTCGTGCATGAGCGACGGGCGGGGTCGCGGCGGGGGGGCCCATCCTCATGGGCGCGCGGTACATTGCGGACAAGGGTGGCCTCGGAATTTGGAATGTTGGATTTGTGCTGTGCGTGGGCGGGCAGTTCGCTCTGCTCTCGGCCGGAGCAACACCCGTCCACGACTGAAACAGGCGACAACAGAAACGGACAGTGGTGAATGTTGACGTCCGGGCAACGAGCGTTCAGCCCTGGAGGAGCAGTCGCGCGGTCTGTGTGAGGGGTGATCACGCGCTGGACGATGGCCCGACGTCCCCATGTGTCAGGCCGCCGAAGCGTGCTTGGAACGGTGTTGCGGATAGGCCTCCCAGGCCGGCAGTTGGTGGCCAAGTCTCAGACTGGCTGTGTTCTTTCCTCTCGAGTTCATTGGCGCTCCGGCTGCGCTGACGCACCTGCGGAAACGAGGCTGGTGCGCTGCGAAACCTGAATTTGAGTCCATGTAATCGTCTGGGAACAGCTCTCAAAACTTGTGAGTTTGGGATGCTATCTGTTTGTTTGAATGCTCTGCGTAAATTTTTGACTGGTAACGGTTGTCTGACAGGCCCAGGACGGATGAAGGCAGGTTGAGGCGCAGGAGTTTCTAAGCCAGCCGCCTGAGATCGCGCGACACCAGACAAGATGGTAAGCACTCGCGAGTGTTGGGAAACGCGCGGAAGCATGTTTGCACCTTTGAGGGAAGATTGGTATCACGCAATCATCACGAGAATGTGTTGACATGCATTTCACAGACTTACGATATACATTTGGATCATCGTGTTGCTGTATTTCTGCTGGGAGCTTGCAGGTTGTCCACTTGGCAGAATATGGTGATGGCATCAAGTTCGCGTGAATGGCCTGTTGTGGCCAGTGCTCACGAGCGAGGCCATTTGGCCAATATCTCCTTCAGCTCGTTGCCGGCCCCATTGACATTTGGAAGAAAAATGCAGTGAGGGCACGCCGCGAAGTTTGCAAGCTTCGGGACATGCCCCGTTCCATTTTTCTTTCCTCTCTCTGCTCCGCAATTTCTGATTTACACTAGCAAACAAAGGACCAAATAACGCTTTTGCAAACACACATAGAACACATTTCATCAAAGTTCTGCACGCTGAGAACACAAAAATAATCCAAACCACTAAATTCAGGGGTTTAAGTTTCAACTTTGTACACGTTTGAACATACACGTTTGAACATGCGTTATTTGGAACTTTTCATCCTAGTGTTAGGCATTATATTCCACGGCTGCGCAGATGCACTAATCATGGAATGCTACGGATATTTCACATAGTCAGCAAAATGCCCTCTGAGATAACTTGTTCTAGTCACACGCTATTAGCAGTGGCGCCAGGGCGTGACTACTCATGCATAATTTGGCCCATTTAAACAAGGCAAAAAGTCTTAATGTTACGCACTATGAGTTCATCTGACGCTGTTAAATATCAGTTTTTTGAACAACGTCAATGTTGTGTTACGTGTATTTAAAATGCA